GGGTCCCACGGGTCTGGGTCCCACGCCTCCATCGACATCCTGGAGGAGCTGCAGCTCATTGCTGCCCAGAACCTGGAGAAACTGGACATCAACAAGTACTATGAGGTCATCAGAGAGCTGGGTAAGGGTACCTATGGGAAGGTGGACCTGGTCATCCACAAAATCAGAGGTGAGTTTGTCTGTGATGGAAGCTACCTGTGCCTTTGAGAATAACCAATGTGTCATATTCATGTCAGTTGGTCTATTTCCGACAGACCATCAACAGAGCGCAACAAAACAGAAACATTGCTTGCTGATGTGAAAACAACCAAATCATATTTTTTCTGGGGATTTATATCAGTGTTTACAGTTAGAAAATTCAGTTTCACTCCAGATTCCATCTAAAATGTTTTCCATGGTCACAGTCATCTTACACATCTTTGAAGTATTTAGATCGCTCCACTCTTTAAATAATTCATTTGTGGACCATAATTCTAGTGAATGTGGCGTCCCTAGTTTCGGATAAGCAGTGAAGCACAAACCCCATCCAGATTGCTTATCAAAATGACCTATTTTAGCAAATCTTTTCAACCTTTGTGACATAAAATCCAAGCCAAAATGTCAACCATCTGCTCAGTCCACTTTACAGTCTTGTTTAAAAAACTCAAAAGTGGGGGGAAAGCAATTTACCCTCCTACATCTAGAGGAATAATGACATACACAAGCCACCAAAGTGCACAGTTTAACTGTCTGTCCTCAGCTCTTTTATAAAAGCAGTGAAAGGGCCCACCATCAGGAACTATCCAAAACCACTATCACTGGATTGTCATTAGACCTAAATCATGTACAAAGACACTTACATGTTAAAACACCAGTATTTACCCAGCTCTCGGATCTCACGCTGCCACCATATTACATTCCCCAATTCCAACATTTGACACTATCAGCTGAGGACATAAATAATGAAAGATTTATTGCCATCAGAGATGTGTTGAATAGTATTTATATGATTACTTCTAAATCATGCTGCTGTGTAATTGGGTTTTAGTGAGTCAGGCCAATTTGCTACGCTATCAAAGCTCTGGGAATTAGGGTGGCTGTAAATTTGGGTATGAGTATAATCTTAGATTAGCGTGATTCATAGGGGAGACCAATCTTCATTTTATAGTTTGATGATAGCTTTGATAATGCTCACTCAATGCATAGTACAGGTGGATATTAACTTGAATGTAGAGCTGTAGTTCTAGAATAATTCATTGCATATCAGTCATCATGAGGGATTACCCCAATTCATCAAAAATGTATATTAGGAAATCAAATCATTTTGAAGCAAGCTATCATAACAGTTCTTCACTTTCAAATCTGATTTAGTTAAAATTAATATTCACAATTTCTCTGTGAGTGAATATCCATCTAAACCCCTGCATAATGTACAGTATGTTCAATTACTATTTACTGTTCACTTTTGTATAAGACTATAGAGAGACGATATTAGTTATCTTGTATTTGCAGTGCAAATATTTTTCTAATACATTTTTCTCTATTGATTTTAATAGTTCAACATTCAGTTTTTACCATATCAATGATCTTATCATTTGGTGTAGTTTTAGTTTTATTTATTCATGCAAAAAAAAGACAAGTGAAAAACAAACAGTGCCGTTAAAAAAACAAGGTACAGTAAAGATGTGTGCAGGTGAGGTTAGAAACCCAAGAGGACCTTTATGAAAACCCAAAAATATACAGTGCATTCGGAAAGTATTCAGACCCCTTCCCTTTTTCCACATTTTGTTACGTTACAGCCTTATTCTAAAATGGATTAAATAAATAAAATCCACATCAATCTACATACAATACCGCATAATGACAAAGCGAAAACAGGTTTTTAGATTTTTTTGCTAATGTATTACAAATAAAAAACAGAAATACCTTATTTACATAAGGATTCAGACCCTTTGCTATGAGACTCAAAATTGAGCTCAGGTGCATCCTGTTTCCATTGATCATCCTTGAGATGTTTCTACAACTTGATTGGAGTCCACCTGTGGTAAATTCAATTGATTGGACATGATTTGGAAAGGCACACACCTGTCTATATCAGGTCCCACAGTTAACAGTGCATGTCAGAGCAAAAACCAAGCCATGAGGTCGAAGGAATTGTCCATAGAGCTCCGAGACAGGATTGTGTCGAGGCACAGATCTGGGGAAGGGTACCAAAAATGGTCTGCAGCATTAAAGGTCCCCAAGAACACAGTGGCCTCCATCATTCTTAAATGGAAGAAGTTTGGAACCACCAAGTCTCTTCCTAGAGCTGGCCGCCCGGCCAAACTGAGCAATCGGGGGAGAATGGCCTTGGTCAGGTCAGGGCCCGTGTAGCTCAGTTGGTAGAGCATGGCGCTTGCAATGCCAGGGTTGTGGGTTCGTTTCCCACGTGGGGCCAGTATGAAATAAATGTATGTACTAACTGTAAGTCGCTCTGGATAAGAGCGTCTGCTAAATGACTAAAATGTAAAATGTCAGGGAGGTAACCAAGAACCCGATGGTCACTCTGACAGAGTTCTAGAGTTCCTCTGTGGAGATGGGAGAACCTTCCAGAATGACAACCATCTCTGCAGCACTCCACTAATCAGTCCTTTATGGGAGTGGCCAGACGGAAGCCACTCCTCAGTAAAAGGCACGTCAGCCCGCTTCGAGTTTGCCAAAAGGCACCTAAAGGACTCTCAGACCATGAAAAACAAGATTCTCTAGTCTGATGAAACCAAGATTGAACTCTTTGGCCTGAATGCCAAGCGTCACGTCTGGAGGAAACCTGGCACCTTCCCTACGGTGAAGCATGGTGGTGGCAGCATCATGCTGTGTTTTTTTTTTCGAGGGAAAGACGAACGGAGCAAAGTACAGAGAGATCCTACTCCAGCGCGCTCAGGACCTCAGACTGGGGCAAAGGTTCACCTTCCAACAGGACAACAACCCTAAGCACACAGCCAAGACAACGCAGGAGTGGCTTCGGGACAAGTCTCTGAATGTCCTTGAGTGGCCCAGCCAGAGCCCGAACTTGAACCCGATCGAGCATCTCTAGAGAGACCTGAAAATAGCTGTGCAGCGATGCTCCCCATCCAACCTGACAGAGCTTGAGAGGATCTGCAGAGAAGAATGGGAGAAACTCCCCAAATACAGGTGTGCCAAGCTTGTATCGTCATACCCAAGAAGACTCGAGGCTGTAATCGCTGCCAAAGGTTCTTCAACAAAGTACTGAGTAAAGGGTCTGAATACTTATATAAACGTAATATGAAAGTTATTTATTTACAATACATTTGCAAAAATGTATACAAAAAACAACAAGAATAAGGCTGTAACATAACAAAATATGGAAAAAGTCAAGGGGTCTGAATACTAAACAGATTGTTCAATCAATTAAACAAATAAATTAAACAAAGCTCATGGTGGTGTCTTTCAAACGACTCATAAGGTATAAAAGGTCAGACGGTCCATTGAGGTTCAACAGCAGGAGCATTCTCTGGCTAGTGGAATTGAGAATTGACAACAGCCGTTGCAAGCCTTTTGTCTGGCTTTGCATTGTTGTTTTTTTCCGATGACTTGTCTGGAATTCTGATCTGTGCCTTTGTATTATGCAAGAACAAATGGGAAACGTCCTCTTGCAACTGACCTTTCCTACAAGTGGTTGCATGCTCACTAATTTGTGCTCTGACCAGAGCTGAGGTGGTGCTATTGGAGAAGCTTCTCTTTTCCCCTGAGCTCACAGACCCACTGTGGCACCAGGGAGAAACAGACATTGAAGCGTTTCAATCTGGCAATTTTCCACCTCATAGTCTTGTCCTTGTCCCCTTCCCATATTTCCTCTGCTAATTTATGTGTTCCTGTCGTTTGGGGAAATAGGCTGTGGTCGGTAGAAGATACATTTCCTTCCAGATTGCTCTGCTCTATTCCCCCCAGACGACAGAATCCATTCCATGCTTCCAGTGTCTTTACATTATACAGTGAGTATACAAAACATTAGGAACACCTTCCTAATATTGAGTTGCACCCCCTCCCCCCTAACCCCAGCCCTCAGAACAGCCTCAATTCGTCGGGGCATGGACTCCACAAGGTGTCGAAAGCGTTCTACAGGGATGCTGGTCCATGTTGACTCCAATGCTTCCCACAGTTGTGTCAAGTTGGATGGATGTCCTTTGGGTGGTGGACCATTCTTGATACACGGGAAACTGTTGGGGGTAAAAAGAACAGCAGCGTTGCAGTTCTTGGCAGTTCAAACCGGTGCACCTGGCACCTAATACCATACCCCATTCAAAGGCACTTAAATATTTTGTCTTGCCCATTCACCCTCTGAATGGCACACATACACAATCCATGTCTTCAATTGTCTCAACACTTAAAAATCCTTCTTTAACCTGTCTCCTCCCCTTCATCAACACTGATTGAAGTGGATTTAACAAGTGACATCCATAAGGGATCATAGCTTTCACCTGGATTTACCGGGTCAGTCTATGTCATGGAAAGAGCAGGTGTTCTTAATGTTTTGTATACTGAGTGTATATGAAGTCCAAGGATTTACAGACAGGCAAAGGAAAAGCAGCTTCCCCCCCTAATCATTGGCTCTAATTTTATTAGTGTTGCACTCACTGGCTCTATTTCAGTATGTGTTTACTGCTACCCTTGTATATGTACAGGTAGTCACTTTCAATTTACTGCCAAATCCCCTGCATCGAAGCTGAACTGCCCATGCAGTGCTGTCCCACCTCTCTGTAGGTAGTGTTGTGACTAGACTATTCTGACAGAGGCTTTGGAATATTTATAAATCCCCCTCAGCGAAATATGTAGTCTGGGATGAAATACTGTAACCTCACTAAATTGGATTAATCCGAGACAGGTTTTTGAATTAATATCAGTATAATTGATTTACAAGCCTAAATTTGGTGCAGCTAACAGTCTCATAGGACTCTACTAGGAGAAAATCGATGGTGGAACATCTCTCATCCAGTACTGTACGTTCTGTTCTAGGCACTAAAATGGCTCTGAAGTTCTTGAGGAAGAAAACAACCAAACTGAAGAGCTTCGTAAGGGAGTACAGCATCTCTCTCTACCTGTCTCCCTGCCCCTTTATCATCAACATGTTCGGCATTGCCTTCGAGACAGACGACTACTACATCTTCGCTCAGGAGTATGCCCTGGCAGGAGACCTCTTCGACATCATTCCCCCTCAGGTGAGATGAAGAGAAACAGAGATGTATTCATCCGCTCTTACAAAAGAAGGCTCTCAACATAATGTCTGGAATATGAATAACTGTAAAAGTTATTTTATTTCCAGCTGAAGGATAATATACAGATTTGACATGATAAATGTTAATGTGTAAGGTGAATGTGAGATCTAGGTGTTGTGTTTAGAAATAGCTCTGATAGCAACATAATCCAGGTCATTATCTAACCACCCGTCATCCATTGAAGACTATTTTTAGAAAGTTATTTTCTATAACTAATGTAATACCTGATATCCCACAGGATTAAATGCAGTCAACATGTACAGTGGAGAGTTACATTAAATCCTTGGCTTATAGCTGAACACACATTCTGATGGATGGTTTAAATGTTTTACTTGCTGGTGGATTGTTTGACCTCAGTGTGTAATCTTCTCTGTTTAGGTGGGTCTTCCAGAGACGGTGGCTAAGCGTTGTGTCCACCAGGTGGCCATCGCCCTGGACTACCTGCACTGTAAGAAGCTAGTCCACCGGGACATCAAGCCTGAGAACATCCTCATCTTTGACAAAGAGTGCCGTAAGGTCAAGCTGTCAGACTTCGGCATGACGCGGCGCGCCGGCTCCCCAGTGAAGCGTGTCAGCGGTACCATCCCTTACACGGCACCGGAGCTGTGTGACGCCTCGCAGCACGAGGGCTTCTGCGTGGACTACAGCACGGACGTGTGGGCCTTTGGTGTCCTCCTCTTCTGCATGCTCACCGGCAACTTCCCCTGGGAGAAGGCCCTGCCGTCGGACGCCTTCTACCAGGAGTTTGTGCGCTGGCAGCGGCGCCGGACGGGAACGGTGCCCTCTCAGTGGCGGCGCTTCACAGACGAGGGGCTGCGCATGTTCCGCAGGCTCCTGTCCATCGAGCAGGAGCGCCGCTGCTCCGTCAAGGAGGTTTTCAGCTACTTCAACCACCACTGGATGCTGGACAATGAGCCGGGTGGGAGTAACGCTGCGGGAGGAGGGTTGGGGGGCAGCGGGCCCCAGGTGGAGCTCAGCTCGTCGTCATCTGAAGAGGACGTGCTGGTGGACAGGCTGAAGCAGCAGAGCCTGATGGAGCCCATAGGCGGACACTACTCCTCCACCAGCTCCCCTTCCTCCACCAGCAGCTACGAACGTGTCTCCCGTGACAACGGAGGGGGCGGACGCATCCTGGTGGCCACGCCCATTGAAATCTGTGTGTAGAGATTGGTCGTTACCTTCCAGGCTACATGCACACACATATACACACTGTATAAACACTTACATTAGAAGGTCAAATAACAGAGAACGATCTTCCTGGTTAAAGGAAGAGGTGGGAGAACAGCCTGGTCTCATAGACTAGACATAACATAGTAAATGTAAATCCTCGACACTGAAATTAGTATGATATGTTACGTTTGGTATGGTAACATAAGACAGATGGTTATTTAAATCAAAAATGAAAGTAGGGTAGTTGTTCGGGCGTATAACGCAAATGTCTAGCGACCCAAAGGTTGCGAGTTTCGAATCTCAACTTGGACAACTTTAGCATTTTTGCTAATTAGCAACTTTTCAACTGCTTACTACTTTGTAGCTTACCCCCTAACCCTAACCTTAACCCTTTTAGTTAACCCTTCCCTCAACCCTAACCCTTTTAGCAAACCCTTCTCCTAACCTTAACCCCCAGGCCTAGCTAACGTTAGCCAGCTCGCTAACGTTACATTTTACATTTACATTTTAGTCATTTAGCAGATGCTCTTATCCAGAGCGACTAGCCTCCTAGTCACCTAGACAGAATTCGTAACATATAGTAAGTTTAGCAAATTTGTAACATATTGTACGTTTTCTAAATTTAATAATGTATAATACGAATTGTAATTCGTAACATATCATACAAAATTGGGTGATGGACATCCACAAATTATACATACCATACGAAAAGTGGCATATCATACTAAATGGAGTTTCTCGGATTTATGTACAGAATAATACGAAATGCTCTGAGACCAGGTTGGGGAGAAAGGAAGATGAGGAAAAATGATGGTTGGTGCTTGGTGTCCTGAGACACCCTCAGAGGTTTAAAGGAGGTGGTTGTTTCACTATAGATTCTGACAAACATTCCTATTGACGACTCACTCTGAGGGAATGACAAGAGACAATCACAACCAGTACTGATTACTGAACAGATGTGTGGACTTCTGCAGGCATTTATTGATGTATTGTACTGTAGCTATATTCAGACTAAAATGTACAACAAGATCGGACAGAGACAACAAACAAGTGAAGGACAAAACAAGCTTTTACAGAAAAGCAACATAATGTACTAGTAAGTTGAATTGGAGTTGACCAGACCCTGTCGTAAAGCAATATGTTCAAGCAATTTCTCTGCAAAAATGGCTTCTCTGATAAATGGCTCATTGAATAATGGAAGAAATTAAACAATTTTGAATCTGCTGTAATTGCATCAGTAAAAGACAATTGGAGAGTGTAAAAACTTGCTATCATTGTGACTTTTACCATAGTGTAATGTGAACCAATGGTACTATGGTGTGTTTGCATTGTATAACCTTATGTTCTGTGGGTATAAGAGCTTTATGTAATGTAGTTTTTGTTAATATTATTTATTTGAGTCCTTGATTTCTGAACATATATTTTTGCTATTTATTTTAAAAAGTAGCATCAGAGATCTGACTTTTTTGATACTTGCCAATGTTTTACTGCTAGTGCAATTTAAGCAGCCATTTTGAAAAGGGAAACTGCATTTGACCTTCCCCATAGCAATGTCATATAATCCCATGGAACTGCTTTTCATCTCATGTGAATGGGTTATGTTGATGTTGGCCATTACCGCTTTAGCAGTAGCTATAGTGCATTAGTATGTCAGTCAGAGAGTTTAGTTCACCTCCTCTTGTCTGCATGCTACACTTGCTAGGCCTGGCACACCATGACAGTAGTACAGTAATTGATGAGAACACCAAGGCTGACTTTACATGATAGACTGCAGTATACACAACCATTAGTAGCTTAATGCTACTATGGTTTTACTTTAGTTTATTGACTGTTGTGTCATGGTGACATGAGGAGGAAATGTCCATGTTTCATGTAAAGCAGAGAGTAGTTTAATTTTGTTTTCTCAGGTATACCATTTATAATGTCTCATTGTGTTGTTCACATATTATACCATATGGGTAATACACCTGTTATAAGACTATGATAGTATATGGCCAATACACACCATATACATCCTCCTATGGGGATCATTTAAAACCTCCAGCTACTGAACCTACATGTTCTGTGGGCATGTTATACCATAGATCCCTGATCTATGGTATAACACATTTGTTATATTTTAGCTTTGTTTAACTGTAGGCAAAAGGGCAGAATCCTAAAGTTTAATTTCCTTGACTGGTCTTTGATTTTATACATTAGTTTGGCAAATTTGTACATTTAGATGTCAGATGAAAGCATCAAAGGATGAATGGATGAGCATTTTTTTAAATTGCATGGTTAATAAAGAAAACATTTGTGAAATCAGCTCCTACAGTAATTGTGCCAGTGAAAAATATGTGCCAAAAAATTGTTGTATAGTGAAATTTTGCTGTAGCACAAATTTGCATAATTGTTCTCAAAACATAATTTAGGGCTGAAATAGCATAACATAATTGTTCCTTTGTATTTGACGTGCTATATTTGTATAAGCTTCCATCACAAGATCACAGACGATGTAGTGGGACTATGGGGATACTACCTACATGTCCTCAAGTGCGTTAGGGATGTGACTTGAATGATTTGTATTTTTTAGTTTGTGTGACTTACCTTAAAATGGGAAACATTTAAAAAGCTGGAAAACAGGATGGAATACTGGATATAATGTCCACCATGGACAATTTGAAATACATGAGGCATTTGGAAGAAATGCACAACAGTTCATTTTGGAATAGACTCTCTCTGTGTGTTGTGTTTTTCAGAAATGTTTGCATGAATCAATATTGCTCTGGAGGAACGCTGTTGAAATACATCTCTAGAGTGAAAAGTTGCAGTATTTATTTTTCTGCCACTAGAGAAAATAATTATTGGATTTGAACAGAGGCAAACACATTAGGCCCAACCCCCCCCCCCCCCCCCCCCCCACCCCCGCCCACCACCTCAGTAGAAACACACTAGACTGATCAGGAGAAAAAGGAATACTGCACTTTTTTGTCTTCAAATTGACCTCAATGCATTTTGAAAGCAGCAGTCCAGTAGAGATTTCATAAATCTGTAATTGATCTGTTTTGTTATTAGTAATGAGATTTCCTTGTCTTTCTGTGGCGTGTAATTTTACCACCCTGCAGTGTTGTGGAGTTTTAGTCTGTAGAACATGCACTGCTAGAACTCGTCTCTTATTCAGTCCATCCAACAGAACGCTGTCTTCCCTAAACTTTCCTCTCCTTTCATTCAAAATGAAATAAAGCAATCTGAAATGAAACTTGAATCTGTTGTGTGGGTTTGAAGTGTGCGGTGCCTGAGAGGTTGCAGCATGGCTGGCTGGTGGCAACAGGAAGGAGATGTGCTACTAGACTAGATCCCGGTGGAAATTACCACTCTGTATTTTGTTGAAATTATATTTAGTCTGGATGAATCATGGTTCTCGTGTTTATTTAAAGGGTATTTTAGAGAGCCCACTCGATGATGCCCCACTAAATTCTGTAACCACTGATGCATTCTTTCTGCTCAGTTGTAATGAACAGTAAAGGGATTCTATCCAAAACAGGGCTGGTCTGTATTATACAATGGATTGAGCATCCCAGATAGGTTTTTGGCAAATGTGACCCAGGATTTCTAGTTAAACCACGTTAAACCCTCACTACTAACCAATAACTACTAGCAAAAGTCTTATGTAGTCTAATAATGTACAGTGTAGTTCGGAGACTATTGGCCACAAAATGTAGCTAGCTCATTTGAAAAATATTTTCTATTCTCTCTGGGGACTACACTGTGTATCATAGCACTGACGCGTGTAGAGATAATGAGAAGGGGTGAGTGAATAGGGTGAGCATCAGTGCTTGAGACAACCAGTACCATGGCAGGCCTGTGGATTTGCTTGGATACAGCACAGCAGGGAAACCAACAGCTCACCCTGGCCAAGGCAGTGCTGCTGCTGCTGGAGTGGAAATCATCAGGACTGCATGTTCAGCATAGCAATTACTGTAGAGCACTGCACTGCACACCTCACTGCCTCTCCACTCCACTGTCATGTTTACTGTCTCTAGCCGTGGCTAGCAGGGGGGAGAGTGGCTGGGAGGATAACGGTTTGATACATCCTCAAATACTATCTGAATGTTACTTCTAATGAAAAAAATAATAATTACGTTCCATCTCCTTAGCTAATCATGCACACAGAGTTGTATGACCACAGGGATGAGCTGTACAGATGTAGGACCTTAAATCGATCACCCTGCTGCAGGAGAATTTGTAGTGTATTCAAGGTTTAAAAAGGCTTCTGAAGTTTGTAATTTCCATTTTCCCTTTTCGAAAAATGTATCAACCACGACAAAAATGTCCGTTAGTTATAATCCACATAATAATTCAAATTTCCTGTTGCTGCAGGATTATGTGTGAATAAAAAGTGTGATACTGTATCCAACTCTGATGGATATTAAACTGGCCACAGTGGGATCATCCCAGGATTTAGCCCTTAGGAATGTCTAATTAGCAGGCTGAGAGTTGGGAGTGTGAGTGTGCCTGTTTAGCCTGTGTGGAAGAGCCTGTATAAGAGCCTTGAGCAAGTGTGTAAGAGCGTGTGAACTTGTTGCCAAGTAGAGAGCGGAATGGCTTACAGGTCTAGTGGAACTGTACATTTCAAGTCCTGGAGGTTGGAAAACCTTGAGGGGTAAACATGCAGGAGGCTTTTCACATCCACAAGAGCATATTGGTGGGAGCAAGTCCTCCACAAATAGACATCTCAAATCAAATCTCAAATCAAATCACAAATGCAGATATTATTGCAGATGCAGCGAAATACTTATGCTTCTAGCTCCAACAGCGCAGTAATATCTAGCAATACAAAAACAATACACACATAATCCAAAAATTAACAAAAAGACAAAAAAGAGGGAGAACAAGAAATTAAGACATATCAGAACAGCAATGTCTCACACAGAAAAATATGTTTTGGAAAAAACAGATAACTGGTGTGAAATGGACTCAAATTATAAAAAATAATCTGACTCAGATTATAAACGATAATCTGACTCAAATTATAAAAGATCAGCTGACTCAAATTATAAAAGATTATCTGACTCAAATTATAAAAGATAATCTGCCTCAAACTATAAAAGATCATCTCCATTAAGACATTCTCCATTACAACATGAATAACTATATTTCAAAGAGTAGATTGGTTACAAGACAATAAAATATTAATGTGAAGGAGATTCCACAACCTCTCTCACTGAGGATACTACTGAGCCAAATACTGAAATACTCAACAATATGGCAGCAATAAGCATGCATGTTTCTATTACATTACATCTTCAAGGACATACAGTACAAGGTCATTGAACCCAGGGGAGAGAAGAAGCCATCCCTCATGTTACAACATTTATCAATCTGTGTCCAACACTGTCAACCTGATGCACTCTTAATTCTCCAGGTTATTTTTGGGCTTCCACAACACAAGCCAATCTGTAATAGTGTGGTGAAATATTGATTCTCGATTGCGTGCTGCCAAAATGACTCGCCCGCTGACACAGTACAGAGCTGTAACCTATGTCACCGTGATATACTGTGGGCGCACTTACATGATTTGCAACGATGGTGTTTGATCTATACTGCCTGGATTGATGCTGCCTGTTTGGCGGTGCATGTGTGCCTCAGATGTGCGACATCTGATTATGTAACAGAGTATTTGTGAGGGCACCCCAAGTGGTACATGACAACAGGGTCATGTACAGCCAGAACAATAGGCTACCTGACGATTTGATTTATTATTTTCATATTTCAGGCTAAGTTTGGGTGGCTACTGTCTAAAGATAAGCAGCTGCAACATGCCTTCAATATTATGTGATGAAGATGTGACATATTCTGCTGAATTTATTACGATATTTGTGAGAAAGAACAGGGCTACCCTGCTGCTAACGAGCACTCTGCAGGCAGGCTGCACTCCAAAATGATGGCGCGGTGCAGACATAACATGCTTTCCATCAGATCCTACAACCTCTACTTATAATATGCTACAAGTAGGCCGTATGATTGCTCTGGACTCCAGAGAAGTGACATGATATACCCCAAGTTGATATTAGCTGCTAACATGAATTAATTTCATCTCCAAATGCAGGTATAAAACACAGTTTATTTCTGTAGTCTATATTGCGTTTTGAAAATGCATCACTGTTTATGGCTGTAATGACAGGCTACATTTGCACAGCGATTGTGCGCATTTTCGTGTGTGCACTGGGCACCCCAAGTGGTACATGACAACAGGGTCATGTACAGACCCCAAGTGGTCTGTACATGACCCTGTTGTGCATCCTTTATTTTGTGATCCTGGATGAGGAGATTCTGAGTGACCTGCAAAGGTATTGTGCTGCTGTGCTGCAGAGATAGTGGGAGGGATTTAAATCGAATGAGCCTGTCAGAGTCCTGGGAGCTGAGATAACACAGCGCCCAGAGCTAAGGATGCTGCATGCAAAGAGAGAGCGAGAGAGAGAGCGAGAGAGAGAGGGGGAGAGAGAGGGAGAGTGAGAACGAGATGGAGGGAGGGAGCAGGAGAGAGAGAGAGGAGAGAGAAAGAGAGGGCGAGAGATGGAGAAAGAGAGAGAAAGAGTGAGAGAAGTGTGGGCCTTAGGCATAAACACTATAATGGAACAACCTAGCGTGACAGCGCTCTCCCTGTCTCTATTAACTTAATCTCTAACATAAACAAGAGCGATTATTCATCTTAGATACAGCTAAAACGCCTGTCCTAACAAAACACTTGATACAGAGTTAAAATGAGAGCTCTAATAGGTCACTCCATTCACTGCAATGGCCCAAAGTCTAACAAGGTTAGCGATTATGAGGCTGGCATTTTGCTGTGTTTACAAACTTACACCTACGACATATGAATTTTTCTTATACCCAGTCAACATTTGACAAGGCTTTAATCATGGAACTGCCCTAGTTACAGCATTATCTGATGTGTTTTGCTGTGTTTACAACTTACGCCTACGTTATATGAATATCTCTTATACCCGGTCACAGCATTATCTGATGTGTCAACTTGTTGGGTTCCACACATTGGTGACAGAGGACAGGGGTTGGGGAAATACTTACAGTAGGAAAAATGTGAAATGTCATGGTAATTATGCAAGAAGCAATATTTCCACTGTCATAATAGCTGAAATAAAGCCCACAGTATGTTGGATGATGAAAGTGTTTCATAAGTGTCCAATGAGGCATAATACAAGTTTGGTATTTTCCACCAAACTCTTCAGCATCTGTCATCTTCAGACAGGCATCCAGCATCAGAGGCCTACAAGTGTAGGATCTTAATTTGATCTAAATTGTCACAGCAAAATAATCCTGCAGCAACTGGATTTTAATGTTTTAGTCCATAATGTTGCTTGATCGATGGTTAGGCTATTAGCTGGCCAAAAGTAGGCTACATGAAAAGTGCAACTGTTAATATATAACAGAGTGTTAGTGTGGGTTTTCAGTGAATTTATGTAAATCACGAAGTTCATCGGCACTTCCTGCGGTGCAGGAGCATTCTCAGCAACAAAAGTGCAAAAATTAAGATCCTACATCTGTATGCTAAGGGGTCAAACTGTTAGCATATGGAGCTGCCATTCCAAATGTTTATCCATGTGTTAACCCTTGTGATAAAAGACAGCTAAATATAGTCTCATCTTCAATGGGGAGGAAACACAACAGCTGTTTGAATATTCTCTGTGAAATTGGCTGCTTAAAATGTACATAGATTTGCTCAGTTAAACCCTCTGCATGGAGACAAAGCCACAGCTCTCTCTCTCACACACAGGAATGGGATGCCAGTCTATTTTAGCAGGTGGGAACACTGTTCTATTCTGAGTTCAACAAGGTGAGATACAAGGTGAGAAATGCTCTGTGAGCAGCACCCACCAGGTCAGGATGACACTCAGTTAAAAGCAAGGCAGACACGTGCAGTAAAATGCTGAGAGCAGATTCTTCCTGATAATAGAGGTAGAGGAATAGAAGAATAGTTCACAGGAGTCTGAACAGTTTGCAGAAGTATTATTCATACAAGGAGAGGATGAATGGTTCAACCTGACCGTAGCAGTCTAGAATAGGGCAGTTATCTACAAGTACTGTACTTACATAAAGAGAACACAAACATCACGGATACATCGACTTCCCTTTGTTGTATGCTACTCAAATTCAACATATGTTTGAGCATTTTTATCTAGAATATATTAACCTAACCTGTCCCACTGAATCACAGCCACATCTAATAAGAGAGATTAAGTATGATAAAAGTGATCACATCCTAAAACAGGTGACGTACACAGGAATGTCAGCTTTTATTCAAACAGGTGACAAAAAGGCAACAGGTGCAAGCTGTTACAGACAATTAATTCCATGTGTTAGACATCTCTTCCTCACACATATGTAAGACTGGAACACCCATACATTTCCTTAATGGACTGCGTTAACAGAACCCAGTATAAAATCAGAAATCTCTGGAGCCAATGATATCAAGTCAAATTCAAAATCACTTCCCACTGGGCACAGACGTCAATTCAACATCTATTCCACTTTGGTTCAACGTAATTGAAACGACGTGGAAAAAATGTTGATTCAACCAGTGTGTGCCCAGTGGGTTGAATGTACCAACCTTTGCAAACTTTGTGCAAAACAGACATAGTACCTTTTCCTCATTGAGCAGCACTACCACCATGTTAGTTGAACATTACTAAATAAATATGCACAACATGATTAAATCATAAATAGAAAATAAATATGTCTTTATGACTGCATTTAGATAGGCAGCCCGATTCTGATATTTCTTTCACTAAATGGTCTTTTGACCAATCAGATTTGAAAAAGATCTGATGTGAAAAGATCTGATGTGATTGGTCAAAAGACCAATTAGTGGAAAACATATCAAAATTGGGCTGCCTGTGTAAACGCAGCCATAGAAGCCGTTCTGTAGATCCATCACTTCCTCTGTTGCCATTTAGTTCCGAATGATTACCAAAGCATACCACCAGGATAATCTGAGATGCAAAAATATATATAGTAACATACAGAAATGTGAATCCATATAGTAACATACAAAAATCTAAATTTCTAAGTAGCAATCTTGCAAAACAAGTCATATTATCAGGGGTGTGACTGGTTGGCCTTTCAATCACTGTTAATTAGGATGAATACTGAACTCAAATATTGTCCTCTCAAGGTTCCTATCAAATAAAGGTTCATATCAAATAAGGAAACAATAGCAAGTCTGTCACACATGGTGAACATAACAACAAAAACATGTCAATCATCATTTCAGTATTAAAAGGTAAAAAGACCAAACATAGATATAAAACTTCAACAAAATAAAACAGAGGTCTTTCAACAAAGCAAAACAGCACAACAAACCTGGCGACGCAACTGTCAAGCTTCTACAGTGGAGACAGGCCAAAAAGACTACGACCATCTGGAGGCAGACACACAATAAGAGCATTTGGCTTCATTGGTACAATCAAATCAGAATGATTAGTAATACTAAAGTAACATGGAATCAATGTAAACATTCAAGAGATAAAAGAAAACATGAATAGAATGTTGCAGTTCTTCCACAGCCTATTCTCTGGGGTGAAGGAGAGTATCTATCCGATGGCTGCTGCCAATGTGGTTTAGCTGTCAGGGAGACACAAGGGACAGTGACACACTGTTATAGAATTGGGGAAAAAAGTATAAATTACTCAAGTTTACAGTACAGCTTATATAGAAGCTAGGGTCACACATTGAGGTGAAACTCTTACAACTCCCTGAAAAAGACATGGGTGTGAAAGTACATATTTTCTGCACCATATTCACTCATTTATCTCTTGTGAAGCCTCAAATAAAAATTAAAAAATGTTACAACTGCAGAGCCGATCAAAACAGTTTCAACATGGTAGGTTTTGAATGTTAACCCAGAGGCCCTTGCAGCAGATTGAGAATATTATTTTAGCACAGAGGGCAAAGCAGTCTCATTGCTTTTTCACACCTTGTTCTGCCAAGCGTCCCAATCACTAGGTAGGTTTTCATGTTCCACACAGCTCATCTCACTGAGGGAGAAGAGAAGGTCTACCTATGAGTGCCAAGATATCAGCTGAATTTCACACTCAACAGCAGAGCGACTGGCTGTACCTCTAAACCTTCCTGTTAGGATTCTTAAATTGAATTCAAACCTCTTCAAACTTCAATGTAATCATCATGTCTTTTCTGCCATTTCTGTGCACATTCCATGTCAAACTGACACTGTCGATAGTGTGTGTGTGTTCTTTAATCAACTAATAATCCAACTTTCATTTGGAATCCTTTGAAAAACATACAATTTCCTGTAATTCTACACATTTTGCCATGGAGGTTAAATAAAATGTTGCTTTTTAAAGCAACATTTCTTCTGCAATTGTATAATAATAATAATAATAATAATATGCCATTTAGCAGACGCTTTTATCCAAAGCGACTTACAGTCATGCGTGCATAAATTTTTGTGTATGGGTGGTCCCGGGGATCGAACCCACTACCTTGGCGTTACAAGCGCCGTGCTCTACCAGCTGAGCTACAGAGGACCACACATGTTGTAATGGAGCTGAGAGAAAATGTTGCAGATTTTAAGCACATTTCCAGCAATTCTACACATTTTAACAGATTAGTGCTGTATTCCTATGCTCAAACATTATAACAAAATCAATGGGGGCCTGATTGTCTAGCTCAAAGATTATAGGCTATTATGAAAAAATATATAGGTCCATTATATTTTCTACATACAGTGGGGGAAAAAAGTATTTAGTCAGCCACCAATTGTGCAAGTTCTCCCACTTAAAAAGATGAGAGGCCTGTAATTTACATCATAGGTACACGTCAACTATGACAGACAAAATGAGAAAAAAAAATTCCAGAAAATCACATTGTAGGATTTTTAATGAATTTATTTGCAAATTATGGTGGAAAATAAGTATTTTGTCAATAACAAAAGTTTCTCAATACTTTGTTATATACCCTTTGTTGGCAATGACACAGGTTAAACGTTTTCTGTTAGTCTTCACAAGGTTTTCACACACTGTTGCTGGTATTTTGGCCCATTCCTCCATGCAGATCTCCTCTAGAGCAGTGATGTTCTGGGGCTGTCGCTGGGCAACACGGACTTTCAACTCCCTCCAAAGATTTTCTATGGTGTTGAGATCTGGAGACTGGCTAGGCCACTCCAGGACCTTGAAATGCTTCTTACGAAGCCACTCCTTCGTTGCCCGGGCGGTGTGTTTGGGATCATTGTCATGCTGAAAGACCCAACCACGTTTCATCTTCAATGCCCTTGCTGATGGAAGGAGGTTTTCACTCAAAATCTCACGATACATGGCCCCATTCATTCTTTCCTTTACACGGATCAGTCGTCCTGGTCCCTTTGCAGAAAAACAGCCCCAAAGCATGATGTTTCCACCCCCATGCTTCACAGTTGGTATGGTGTTCTTTGGATGCAACTCAGCATTCTTTGTCCTCCAAACACGACGAGTTGAGTTTTTACCAAAAAGTTCTATTTTGGTTTCATCTGACCATATGACATTCTCCCAATCCTCTTCTGGATCATCCAAATGCACTCTAGCAAACTTCAGACGGGCCTGGACATGTACTGGCTTAAGCAGGGGGACACGTCTGGCACTGCAGGATTTGAGTCCCTGGCGGCGTAGTGTGTTAATGATGGTAGGCTTTGTTACTTTGGTCCCAGCTCTCTGCAGGTCATTCACTAGGTCCCCCCGTGTGGTTCTGGGATTTTTGCTCACCGTTCTTGTGATCATTTTGACCCCACGGGGTGAGACCTTGCGTGGAGCCCCAGATCGAGGGAGATTATCAGTGGTCTTGTATGTCTTCCATTTCCTAATAATTGCTCCCACAGTTGATTTCTTCAAACCAAGCTGCTTACCTATTGCAGATTCAGTCTTCCCAGCCTTGTGCAGGTCTACAATTTTGTTTCTGGTGTCCTTTGACAGGTCTTTGGTCTTGGCCATAGTGGAGTTTGGAGTGTGACTGTTTGAGGTTGTGGACAGGTGTCTTTTATACTGATAACAAGTTCAAACAGGTGCCATTAATACAGGTAACGAGTGGAGGACAGAGGAGCCTCTTAAAGAAGAAGTTACAGGTCTGTGAGAGCCAGAAATCTTGCTTGTTTGTAGGTGACCAAATACTTATTTTCCACCATAATTTGCAAATAAATTCATTACAAATCCTACAATGTGATTTTCTGGATTTTTTTTCTCAATTTGTCTGTCATAGTTGACGTGTACCTATGATGAAAATTACAGGCCTCTCTCATCTTTTTAAGTGGGAGAACTTGCACAATTGGTGGCTGACTAAATACTTTTTTTCCCCACTGTATTTTATATTTGGTTTTAGTCATTTAAATGTACACAAAGCATTTTTCTATCCCAAACAAATAACAAATAAATGCAATGGATAAAACATGTAATCCACCGACCCACCTGGACCCCTGCCGCAACCCACAAGTGGGTCCCGACCCAGTTTGGGAACTACTGCGCTAGAGGATCATTGACACGAACTTGCTTGAGTTTGATGTCACTTTGAACAATAGCGAAATCTTACCCTAAGTCCTGTTTTTAACATAATATGGGTAAAGATGCTCAACTTAATTAGTGTATTTAACAAGAGAGGAGAAAACAATCAAATCAACACACTCTAAGGGAAGTTATTTGTTCCAAACGCTAAAACAAGCTCTAACACAATGCACTACCACAGATCTCTCACAGTCTGACTGATGAGCATCAATGACTAAATACCATTCTATTTACAAATAACCCCAGAGTCCTTCCAAAGGACGAACATTTAAAGTTAGTACATTTGAAACCGTCTGGTCTCAAATGATGAATGTAACATGTCAAGGGCATAGAAAACCACATACCTTCCATGGTGGCCAATTCCTTCTCTCCTGTCATCTGTTGGCTGGCATGTTCACACCTCTGAATGATTTATTCTGGAAAGGAAAAAAGTGCAATATTTTAGAAACACTGCGATAATAGCCTAGATCTCAGATCAAAAGTAATGATCTTTAGGCAACACTTTATTTTAAGGATCCATAATAAACCATTTATAAGGCATTTACAAACCGTTTGCTCACCATTTATTAATCATTACTGTCATGTGCCTTTTACTGAGGAGTTAATAAGATAGCTATTCACAAATGTATTTATATTTCCTTAAACATCTTGTGTTGTGCACTTATTCTTTTACCAGGTACTGCTGGAAGGACAATTGTTACAGCTACCTTGTGCTTTGGACATCTCATGGAGAAGTTTTCTTCGTTAAGCACACAGCCTGCAAAGATAGATTGAAAATAAAGCACTTAGTCAACACAATGATTCTTCATTGACAGAATTGTACATAGGCAGAGCAGGACATCTTCCGACCTGACTGAGCTGCACAGCTGTAGTGGTACTTATTGGGGCACCCTTTCTGGAAGCAGCCCATGGTTGCACCTGCTGTGTGGCATGTGGAACACACCTGGAGAAGAAACAAACTGTAAAAAAGCACGGTCTGTATTTGAGAGGCCAAGGACACAGTGAAGGAGTAAGGCATTGTGTGTTACCTATTCACAAGCATAATGGTCCTCTGTCTATCTGAGCTACTTCAGTTTGACCTTGTTTATATATTTTGATAAAGTGAGGCAGACAAGCTACATATGCATTTCAGGAATGTCAGAAGACACCAATGCATTTTGATTTAGCAGACACAGTAACATGATCATATTTTCTGTTATGTTCTTCTCTATGTTGCACTCGAAATACGCAAGCACAAATGCACATTATCTCGAACAAAGACGTAGCATTGAATTTGACTCACTGTTTCTTGGGCGAACCTAACAGCCTCCTCCAAGCCGTAGAGCTTTCCTTTAACTAAGAAAACACCTGTGGACCATATGCCACAGTCCTCGTGGATCCAGCATTCATTGGTGTTGTGGGGCACCACTGGCGGACTGTGGCCGTTCACCACGCAGCCGTTTGTTCTGAGCTTTTTGGCTGAAGGCAATGTGGAGCTTTCACAATCACTGACAATGATGCAGCAGTCGTCATCTACAGCTTCTATACTAGGCACATTGCTCAGTTCATGTAATCCATTCTTCTCTACCTGACCCCATAGGCCTATCTTACAATCTACAGACAGTTCACTGTCCTTGTGTTCTTCCTTCTGGGCCTGCTGTTTGCCTTGTTCCTCCAAAGCAGGTCCAGTTGGATAGTAAGGCCCGTGAAGGTCCCCTAGGCCCACAGCATTAGCTGACCCACCACACAGGCAGCACACCATTAGGGGCTGACACTTACTCTTTGAGCTGAGGCGACCCAGACGATAACAAGACGTCTTAGGAACAACACCAGACAAAGACCCAGACCCAGTTGGTTGTTGTTGCTGTCCTTTGTTCTGCCTCACATCCTTCTCCTCCTGCTGATCGTTGATCACTGTACAAGCAGAGTACTCTCTCTGCTCCATGTGGACAAAAGGGCAAAAGTTCTCTGATTTACTGGCCCTTTTGTCCTGCTTGTAGTTTGCATATTTCAGCTTGATTTCTGCCTCTTCATGGGAGAACATGGAGGATGAGCCAGCTTGTTTGTGTTTCTCCCTCCTTCGTTTTGTTTTACTTGCTGCTGCTTTTCTACTACTTGAGGCCTGCTTTGCTGGGCTTCTCTGGTGGGTTTTCTGCTTGGTTCCTGACCTTTTGCTCCTGGGTGAAGAGGGCTTTGTCCACTCCTGTTGGATGTCTTCCACATGTGTGGCCTTGGGCCTTGACTCTGTAGCAGGTGATGATCCTCTCTGTGGCCTTCTAGAGGAACGTAGGCTCTCAGAGGGGTCCTGTCGAACTGTCCGACGGTCCACATCAGAGTCATCAGAATCTACTACACACCTGTACAGGTAGACAGTTGGCTGTAACCAAGACTCATCCTCTGAACTAGATGACTTCTCCTTTGAGTCCATTGTGTCGACAGAATGTTCTTTGGGTAATATTCTACTCAAGTTTTTGGTATGGATTTTTGAATGATGGCGAGTGACATTGTTGGTGGGCTTCTGAGCGCTGACCTCAGGCTGTATTGTTCTAGGATGTGGAGAAAGGCTTTTCTTTACAACATTACTAGCTTCACCTGTCAGCCTTTTCTCATTCTGAACATCAACAGGTAAACTGGGAATCTTTTTCTTTTCATTGGTGATGGGAACTTCAATGACATCACTATCATCACTTGAGATATCCACAGGAGAACTGACAGATTTCCCATACAAAGCAGCTAATTCCGACAGGTTAAGAACAGGTTTTGCGTTCACCGACATCCCCTCTGTGCTTTCAGATGAATCCTCTGAGTATGTATTGTCAGGACTGGGGGAACTCAGTGTCTGGGGCAGTAGAAAACAACCTTTAGCTTCACCCAAAGAGACAGCGCCAGGGGACGGAGAATCCACTAAGGGACTAACAGATCCCCTGTCTAAATAGTCCTGAGGTGAGGGTGCTTCCTTAGAACTGGAAACAAGCAAAATGACATCAGAGTCACTCTGACTCTCTTCTCCCTCAATACTTTCAGAAATGGGGCTCTCTGCATTTAGGCTCTCTGTAGGGTGTGGCTCGTACAACCCTGAGTCCCGTAAGCTTCTGTCCATACCATTATGTAAAAGGGGGGAGCGAACACAAGTCCTAGTCCCGTAGGAGAGTCTGACACCTGTGTCTGTTAGTGTTTTCTCAGAGAGGAGCTGCATGCAGGGCATGGACACATGGTCGTCAGTGATGCTGTGCCATCTGGGCTTCTTCATCAGGTCCAGAACCTCTGTGGTCCTGGGATTCAGATGACTCTTCCCACATCTCTTTGAGAGATCCAAAGCCATAGGAAGAGGGTCTTGAGATGACAGCTCCATAACTGTAAGACAAATACAGTCACAAAGATGGGTTAGCCCATACTCTGAGGTTATTCAGTAGGCAAACTTCAGGCCTAGCCTACATTGCCTTGCAAAAGTATTCATCCCCCTTGGCGTTTTTCCTATTTTGTTGCATTACAACCTGTAATTTAAATGGATTTTTATTTGGATTTCATGTAATGGACATACACAAAATAGTCCAAATTGGTGAAGTGAAATGAAAAAAATAACTTGTTTCAAAAAATGCTATAAAATAAATAACGGAAAAGTGATGCGTGCTTATATATTAACCCCCTTTGCTATGAAGCCCCTAAATAAGATCTGGTGCAACCAATTACCTTCAGAAGTCACATAATTAGTTAAATAAGTGTCACATGATCTGTCACATGATCTCAGTATATATACACCTGTTCTGAAAGGCCCCAGAGTCTGCAACACCACTAAGCAAGGGGCACCACCAAGCAAGCGGCACCATGAAGACCAAGGAGCTCTCCAAACAGGTCAGGGACAAAGTTGTGGAGAAGTACAGATCAGGGTTGGGTTATAAAAAAATATCAGAAACTTTGAACATCCCACAGAGCACTATTAAATCCATTATTAAAAAATGGAAAGAATATGGCACCACAACAAACCCGCCAAGAGAGGGCCGCCCACCAAAACTCACGGACCAGGCAAGGAGGGCATTAATCAGAGAGGCAACAAAGAGACCAACGATAACCCTGAAGGATCTGCAAAGCTCCACAACGGAGATTGGAGTATCTGTCCATAGGACCACTTTAAGCCGTACACTCCACAGAGCTGGGCTTTACGGATGAGAAAAAAGCCATTGCTTAAAGACAAAAATAAGCAAACACGTTTGGCATGTGGGAGACTCCCCAAACATATGGAAGAAGGTACTCTGGTCAGATGAGACTAAAATTGAGCTTTTTGGCCATCAAGGAAAACGCTATGTCTGGGCGGCAGGTAGCTTAGTGAGTAAGAGTGTTGTGCCAGTAACCGAAAGGTCGCTGGTTCTAATCCCCGAGCCGACTAGGTGAAAAATCTGTCGATGTGCCCTTAAGCAAGGCACTTAACCCTAATTACTCATGTAAGTCGCTCTGGATAAGAGCGTCTGCTAAATGACTAAAATGTAAATGTAAAATGTCTGGCGCAAACCCAACACCTCTCATCACCCTGAGAACACCATCCCCACAGTGAAACATGGTGGTGGCAGCATCATGCTGTGGGGATGTTTTTCATCAGCAGGGACTGGGAAACTGGTCAGAATTGAAGGAATGATGGATGGCGCTAAATACAGGGAAATTCTTGAGGGAAACCTGTTTCAGTCTTCCAGAGATTTGAGACTGGGACGGAGGTTCACCTTCCAGCAGGACAATGACCCTAAGCATACTGCTAAAGCAACACTCGAGTGGTTTAAGGGGAACATTTAAATGTCTTGGAATGGCCTAGTCAAAGCCCAGACCTCAATCCAATTGAGAATCTGTGGTATGATTAAAGATTGCTGTATACCAGCGGAACCCATCCAACTTGAAGGAGCTGGAGCAGTTTTGCCTTGAAGAATGGGCAAAAATGCCAGTGGCTAGATGTGCCAAGCTTATAGAGACATACCCCAAGAGACTTGCAGCTGTAATTGCTGCAAAAGGTGGCTCTACAAAGTATTGACTGAATAGTGGGTGTGAATAGTAATGCACGCTCAAGTTTTCTTTTTTTTGGTCTTATTTCTTGTTTGTTTTTTTCATCTTCAAAGTGGTAGGCATGTTGTGTAAATCAAATGATACAACCCCCCCCCCCCCAAAAAAAATCCATTTTTATTCCAGGTTGTAAGGCAACAAAATAGGAAAAATGCCAAGGGGGGTGAATACTTTCACAAGCCATATAGGGCAGAATTTCAAAAGCAGCTTTTCTACATAATAGCAACAGATGTAGGATTTTAATTTGAGGCAGTTTGCTACAGCAGGAACATAATCCCGAAGCAACAGGAAATGTGAATTATTTGCTATGTGGATTATAATTAATGGACATGTTTTGTAGGGAGTGATATATTTTTCGTTTGGGCAAATCATGTCTGACATTTTAAAGCTAAATTACAAACTTTAGAAGCCTATTTAAACCTCGAATACACTATTAGGTTTGTATTTCCTGCTGTGCAGCAAAATTCTCAGCAACAAAAGGGTTATCAAATTAAGATCTTACATCTGTAGTATTACTGCATCACTATAACAACAATGTATCGTTAAACCAAGCATTCATATTATTATTGATGATTCTTAATTTGCAACTCGTGACAGCAAATTCAGTCTACAAAATTTAAGGTTGCATTGCGTGATAACATTTGGAGATAATAATTCAGAAATTGATTATATCTCTGTCTAACGTCGTTACTAGAAAAAAAAATGGGAGCTGCCCGTTCAACATAGTACCCGTACCTACCCTTCGTCGTTCCTTGCTGCAGGTGAGTGCACTGATGATGGTAGCACTAGCTGGCTAGTGGCTAGCTAGCTACTTGCATCCAGGCCTTTGTAAACAGTGTGTAAACAAAGCCGCAATATAACCACAGCTAACGTTAGCCAGCGACTGTGTTGACAACCCGACTTTATCTAGCTAACTAGCTAGCTGGAGTTAGCTCGCTATTCATCCATAATAACATGTGTTATAACAAACATGTTGCCAAGGACCCCTTATATTGGGAAATAGTTGTAAATCAACTAACTATTTTACCTACCTTATTGAAATTAATAAAGTAAGCTGAAGGGTGCTCCCTTTCCAAAAAGGGCATCTCGTAGTTTACTTGCATTGGTGAAGAACTCAGCTGGCAGCTGGTGGTAAACGAGCAATGCATTATGGGAGATGAGAGTTGTGTCAGTTTCATTTGATGTGGAATTTAACAAATATTTGATCAATATTGATAAATGTATCAATTTTCATTCATGATAACGATGTTTTTTTAAATTTATTTTTTATAAAATATAATACATTCATATAATATTTTGTATATTTCCCTGTCCTCTGATGATTTGATTATGTGATGATTATTCATTAACAGACTGATAAAAGGTCACACATTTATTAAAAATAAATACATTTAATTTATAATTAGATTACTTGACATGTAATAAAGAACAGCAAAATGTGTACTAGCAGGACCAAGATAAACGCCTCCAAAGAAAACCACCCATACACAAACAAATACAGTGAGGGAAAAAAGTATTTGATCCCCTGCTGATTATGTACGTTTGTCCCACTGACAAAGACATGATCAGTCTATAATTTTAATGGTAGATTTATTTGAACAGTGAGAGACAGAATAACAACAAAAAAATCCAGAAAAACGCATGTCAAAAATGTTATAAATTGATTTGCATTTTAATGAGGGAAATAAGTATTTGACCCCTCTGCAAAACATTACTTAGTACTTGGTGGCAAAACCCTTGTTGGCAATCACAGAGGTCAGACGTTTCTTGTAGTTGGCCACCAGGGTTGCACACATGTCAGGAGGGATTTTGTTCCACTTCTCTTTGCAGATCTTTTCCAAGTCATTAAGGTTTCGAGGCTGACGTTTGGCAACTCAAACCTTCAGCTCCCTCCACACATTTTCTATGGGATTAAGGTCTGGAGACTGGCTAGGCCACTCCAGGACCTTAATGTGCCTCTTCTTGAGCCACTCCTTTGTTGCCTTGGCCGTGTGTTTTGGGTCATTGTCATGCTGGAATACCCATCCACGACCCATTTTCAATGCCCTGGCTGAGGGAAGGAGGTTCTCACCCAATATTTGACGGTACATGGCCCCGTCCATCGTCCCTTTGATGCGGTGAAGTTGTCCTGTCCCCTTAGCAGAAAAACACCCCCTTAGCATAATGTTTCCACCTCCATGTTTGACGGTGGGGATGGTGTTCTTGAGGTCATAGACAGCATTCCTCCTCCTCCAAACACGGCGATTTGAGTTGATGCCAAAGAGCTCGATTTTGGTCTCATCTGACCACAACACTTTCACCCAGTTCTCCTCTGAATCATTCAGATGGTCATTGGCAAACTTCAGACGGCCCTGTATATGTGTTTTCTTGAGCAGGGGGACCTTGCGGGCGCTGCAGGATTTCAGTCCTTCACGGTGTAGTGTGTTACCAATTGTTTTCTTGGTGACTATGGTCCCAGCTGCCTTGATATCATTGACAAGATCCTCCCATGTAGTTCTGGGCTGATTCCTCACCATTCTCATGATCATTGCAACTCCACGAGGTGAGATCTTGCATGGAGCCCCAGGCAGAGGGAGGTTGACAGTTCTTTTGTGTTTCTTCCATTTGCGAATAATCGCACCAACTGTTGTCACCTTCTCACCAAGCTGCTTGGCGATGGTCTTGTAGCCCATTCCAGCCCTGTGTAGGTCTACAATCTTGTCCCTGACATCCTTGGAGAGCTCTTTGGTCTTGGCCATGGTGGAGAGTTTGTAATCTGATTGATTGATTGCTTCTGTGGACAGGTGTCTTTTATACAGGTAACAAGCTGAGATTAGGAGCGCTCCCTTTAAGAGTGTGCTCCTAATCTCAGCTCGTTACCTGTATAAAAGACACCTGGGAGCCAGAAATCTTTCTGATTGAGAGGGGGTCAAATACTTATTTCCCTCATTAAAATACAAAAAAACATTTTTGACATGCGTTTTTCTGGATTTTTTTGTTGTTATTCTGTCTCTCACTGTTCAAATAAACCTACCATTAAAAATGTAGACTGATAATTTCTTTGTCAGTGGGCAAACGTACAAAATCAGCAGAGGATCAAATACTTTTTTCAGTCACTGTAATACTTTTACATTATAGACTCAGATGGTACATAAATAATTGTTCTTGTACTTCACAGGGAAGAAAAGCAAACTTAATCTGAGTTGTCTTTAGAAATATCCTCGTTCAATAACTGGATTGGACATAGCAGTGTAATAATTCTATACATTTCACAAACGTCATGAGATAAATGTTAATCGGCATTACAAACGTAGACAGGCTAAATAGTAGAGTTTAGATACACTGATGTAAAATACAGAATCCTCAAATAATGCGCTTCTAAAATTCTGTAGTATAGAAACGGTAGATAGGACATCAAATGTTTGACAATATAACTTTGGATCTCTAAGTGCTAAATGGTGTAAACATGGATAGACTGATGAACAATCCATGTTGTGCATTGTGTCTCTTCTTTGTTCAGCACCAGTTACCTTCCTTGATACTCTACAGAGAAAGAAACAGATATCAGAAATCATTACTATTAAGTCATAATGGTAAAGCTTTGTGTTTCAAAAGTGATTACTGTCAGGCCACATAAAGAATCACCAACAGCTTTTCTAACATACTGGCATGGCATAGTATTTTGTTCGCTGACATTCCTACATTTAGCAAACATGCAGAAAATATAAGAAAATTACACTATTCACTGAACTTGCATAATTCTATCATTCAAAATACAGAAGATTATTCACAAGGTGCAGCCATGCCTATAATGTTGGCTACATTACCAGGACAGTCCATTCTATTTTTCAGTCTAACAGAACTAGGGAGTATATGATGGATGAAAGAAGGATGAAAACCATTAGTTGCCTCCAGTATAAGGATTAAAACCAACTAGTTAGTATTGAGAGGTCAAACCGCATGTATGAGGAAGAATAACTGACAACAACACCACTAAGAGACACTGTAAAAGGCCCATGAAAGGGCAAAACAGATGTTTCAGATATTTCTTATACATTTTTACCCAAAGGAGATCTCTATAGGGTTATGCTGCACCACTGTACAAGATGACTTCTAATAAGAGCCTCTTTCTTTAACTTATGTAAGAAATCGACAGAATGTCAAGGGTTATTACAAATCTAAAGGACTAACTGACATGCTACAGCAAACCGCACAGATGACAGTCAGAGAATTCAGATACATCCAATATTATTAAGATACATAACAGAATGAGGTTCATCACAAATTGTCAGTATTACGCAATGAATAACATCTATACAATACAGACTGGTGATGCTGCCAAAACCAGAGGTGGGTGGGGAAACTTCCAGCAAGACTTGACTGTCATGCAGGTATTGGCCTCAGAGTGGCAGCACTCAACACCTTGTCATTTTCACATCAGAGGTTCATCTCTGAATCCCTGAAGGCAGGGCCACCAGTATAATGTCATGTATACCATTATTATCTGTGTCCACTGCAGGTGAGAGCTCTCCCAGTGCTTTGTGGGCCAGCCTCAGGTTCTCCCTGAGCTGTCCCAGGTCTCTCTCTGCCTTGGCCCTCATGATGCTCAGCTCTGTGTAGATGTCCTTGTACGTCTCTGTCGCATACCTCTTATCCTGCGGGGAACAGGGATTAGGTTATAACCAGGCACTATTACCAGGATAAATAGAGTATGACCCATGCTAATAAATGTACAGTAATACATGGTAATAGCATGACAATAGTATGTTGTCCATCTTATGTCTACTCTTCATACATTTATACAGACAGAGGCTATTGTTATTCTGTCAGTGTGTATTGTGTTGTGCTCTCACCCTGTGGGCTGTCTGGAGTTCGTCCTTGAGCGAGGTGATCTTCTGCTTGAGGCACTGCACCTCTGACTCCTTCACACGCAGGGTGATCTAACAGTCACAGAATCACAGTTGATGCCCCAGACACAGATACAATACCAGAAGACCAAGGTGCCATAGATCAGCACAGAATGTACAGCACATGAGTATGTCATATGTTTTAGAGGTTGTAAGTTGGTCATGTTGTTAAGGGTGACATCTAGTGGCGTTACCAGTCAACGGCACATACAATTTACATCAAACTTTACTTGACTGGACTAGATAAAGATTATATCCAACATTTTTTAAAATACTTAAGCAACATCAGAAATAGGTATTGTACAGTGAAGTACTATTGAAGACTTACCTCCAGCTCATACACATCTCTCTCCTGACTAAGAGGGAAGGCGTCCTGCTTAGCCAGAGAGCACAGTCTGGTGATCTCTGCAGCTAGATGGCCACTCAACTCCTGGAAAGACAACCACAGTCATCATGACTAACACTGCTACTTTGTATTTGATGACAAAGACAAAATTGGACCCTCAAGGTTTTGTTGCAGAGTATTGTAACAGACTGATATGAAGTTTATAACAGTATGCGTTATGCATTCCAGTATGTGTGTTAAGACAGAGGACCCGGCAGCCGATTTAGTTGGCTTGGAGCAGAAACATTTGTGATGGGTACATGGTCACAATGTGACTGACCTGGTTGCGAGTCCTGAGGTCCTGGTTCTCCTGCTGACACTGACACAGAGCCTGTCTCTCTGCCTCCAGGGCCTGGACCTAAATGGGAGCTCTCCAGACACTTTAGAGAGTACTGCTGGGACAACACATCCAGCTCCCTGTGACAGGAGGCCAGCTCCTCACTACACACACACAGGTGCACACACAAAAAAACACGATCCTGTGAACTGAAAACCACGGCCAAGACTAGACACAAGGTGCACTGTGTGTTCAGATACAGACAGACAGATACAGAGCCAAGGACAGGTAGTATGCATGTGCCACACTGCCCAGCAGCCATAAGATTATCAGTCCAAAACTCAGTGTTTATCAGCCAATCCAGTGTACTATCTGGCCATGTGCTTTCCTTGATGATTTGCAACCACATAGCTCAACAGGTAGTACATTTACCTGTGTTGCCTGCATATTTCTCCAAGATTCACGTCTCCTGCATTGTTGTTTTCATGGCATGCCCTCTGTAATTCTCTCTTGAGTTCGGCACGGTGAGCGTTCTTCATTGCTTCAATTGCTAATGCCACAATAAAAGGGGATATGTTCAGTCCATTAGTGTGGCATGGGAATGTGAGCTTATCAATATTCTGAGAAACTCTGCCTTAACACATACTGTAAATAACCTAAAAACGTTTAACCTTTAAACACACAACACACACACACACACACTGCCCCCCTCACCTGTGATAGTGGCAGCCGTCTCCTCCTCCAGCAGTCTGTCTGTGTCTATCTGCAGGCGCTGCAGGTCCTGCTGGTGTCTGTGTTGCAGCTCCCCCAGGATCCTCTGCTGGGACTCCTCCATGGTGACAAAGCCATGCTCATATGTGGCCTGGGGACAACAGACGCAGTGGACTGTTAGGTGATTCATCCACAGATCCATTGTCATAATGGTCACTCTACTCCCTGGGGTTGGTTCATTACATCTTAATTCTTGTGAATTCAGGAACTACCAAAAATCCCATTGATGATTATTGACAATTGTTATTATGGGCGTTGTCCTACCTTTAGCTTTTCTATGTCCTCCTTATGTTTCAGCTGGAGAGACGCCATTCTCCCATCATGCTCTGCTTTAATGTCGGCCATGACAGACAGCTGCTCCTCCAGATCCTTCACACGACGTCTCAGTGATGATAACACAACCTCCAGCTCCTCTTCCCCCAGAGTGTTTGCTTCTTCATGGGGTTCAGCAGTGCTCCTCTCCTCTACATCCTTATCAGTATCAACTTCCTGGATTCCTTTCTCTACCTCATCTAGCTTACTCTCCACCTTTATCATTGGACTCTCCATGCTATTGGTCAGGTAGTCACCCTCCACCACTTCCGCACACCTTCTAACCCTGCACACTTCCTCTACTGCAGTCACTCCCTGGTTTGGGCTTTCCACCTCCATTTTACCTGCAGCATTTATTGCAGGCGTCTCTGTCTTCTGCTCACTTGCAGTGTCTAGTAGCTTTGTGTCTGTTTGCTGTGAGTCTATGTGTTCTCCCTGCCTCAGGGTGGTCATCCCTAATCCCACTGAGGAACTCCACTGTCTCTCCAGGTCTGACTGTCTGGCCCCAAGCTGCTGGTTTTCACTCAGCAGCCCAGCACATCTGCTGCACATCAAAGGAGAAGCAATGAGCAGTCCCTGTTGAGTCTCTTGAAGTTGGCTCTTGTGTAGAGTGTTAAGCCTACTGAGACGATAGGATGAGAAGGCTTCCATGGCGGTGCAGTGTATGGAAGCTAACCGGGGCTCATTTACATTGTGGAAATGACAAAGTCTTTGTGCCAGGGACTGGAGCTCATCATTGGCTGAGGCTCCGACTGAGGAGGCGATTTGGTTGAGCAGGAAAATTCTCTCCTGTGTGATCTCTGTGAAATGTCGGCTTATGAAGTCATCAGTGTCATTATGCTGGTTGTACACATTCGATATCCTCTCATCATCCTTCCTCTTTCATTTCTGAACCTTTTTCACCTGCTATGTTTCCAATTATGTCCAGGTCTCTCAAAGACCTGCATCATATTCATCCTGTCCAGGCCTCCAGTGTCTGTGTTTAAATCTTTCTTATTATGAGAGAAAAGACTATGAGCTAGGAGGAGCATTTGCTTTTCCACTACCATCTGTTCTAAAATCTGACTTAGAATCATATCTGTGAGTTTATCCTCATTGGACTGAGATGGGTTGACCTTCAAACCGTTCAACAGCCTTCCCCAAAACTCCTCCTCTAAGTGAAACTGCCTGACTACTGTCTGGTTCACCTCCAAACACTTTCTATCTAATGGCACCTTTACCACATTCATATCTGACCTGTCAATCACCTGCGCTACTCTCCCTAAGGTTCTGGACATCAACATGATCCCTTCCACCACTTGCTGAACCCTTTCTTCACCTGAAACCAATATTACCTCCTCCTGCCATTTGCCTTCACTGCTACACCTCAATCCACTTTCTTTCTCCACCGTCCTTACCTTCTCTACTTCCTCATTAAACCTTACGATGTCAGCCTCTGCCTCCATGGCTCTCTGGGTGTACAACCTCTCAGCCTCTCTGAGTTCTGTGTTGTGGGCCTGCAGCTCCCTGCAGGTCTGTTCTGTGTGCTGGAGCTGTCTCTCTAGCTCTAATTGCTTGGCCTCCATGGCCTGCAGACACTGTTGAAGGTGTTCCCGCTCCTTCTCTCCAAGGTGGTGTGTGTTGATATTCTCCTCCCCAGCTTCCTCCTCTTCATCCTCATCTTCCTCCTCCTCTTCTGCTGGGAAGCCCAGGCCTTTGAAAGTGACCTTCCTGAGCTGCAGCTGTACCTCTGTCTCCTTCAGACGCTGGTCCATTGAGGCTAGTAGGGACTGGGCCTCCTGGAGCTGCTGATCTCTCCTGCGCAGCTCCTTTTCCAGGCCCTCCACTTTGGCCTGGCTGTGCTGCTCCACCTCAGGGAGGAACTGGGGCCCACTGTACTGAGTGATAAGCTCTGCTTTCAGTCTCTCTATCTCTCTGTCTGCCTCTGTCAGCTGGTTGAGCATCTCCTGGTTGCGCTGGTTGAGGGCCTCGTTCTGGCTGCTGAGCAGCTCTACCTCCTGGGATAGTCTCCTCATCACGATGGCCTGGTCTGGGTCTACGTACTCCTCCGTGGGCCTGGGTGTCTCAGAGCATAGCAGGTTGTCTATTGTCATGCTGTTGAGGCTTTCCTGAGTTTCCTCCATGCTCAGTGAATCTGGGCTCCATGCACAACTCTTTGTGTGCGATTCTGGAATCGATGTCTGTTGATGGCTTCCGTTTTCAAACTGTCTCTGAGAGCTGGTTTCACTGCCCGAGTTAGGCTCTCTGTTCTCACTTCCATTCTGAGGCACAGAGTCAGATGAGAGTTCTGTGTCTGAGGTTGGTGACATGACAGGTGTGTTTACTGATATAGAGCAGTCAGGGAACAGATTCTCCAGCTCCTGGAGGTATCCCTCGGTACCATGCAGCCAGATGCTGGGTGGTGGTGATGGGTGAGTTCCAGGGGAGCTGTGTTTCTCCAGAGGGCCTGATGACAGGGACAGGCCAAGCTGCTCCTGTATGTTCTGTCTCTTCAGCTCCTGTTGCTGGAGGAGCTCTCTGGTCTCCCTGTACATGTCAGTCAGGCTTTTCAAAGAGGGAAGATCAGCTTCTGGGCACAACAGGGCCTCAAGCTTACAGGAAGAGACAAGACAATAATGTATAATTAGGTAGTTATCATTGTTGAAAAGTGGAAGTATTTTAGATGGAAATATAGAGCATATCTATACTATGTACAGTGAGGGAAAAAAGTATTTGATCCCCTGCTGATTTTGTACGTTTGCCCACTGACAAAGAAATGATCAGTCTATAATTTTAATGGTAGGTTTATTTGAACAGTGAGAGACAGAATAACAACAAAAGAATCCAGAAAAACGCATGTCAAAAATGTTATAAATTGATTTGCATTTTAATTAGGGAAATAAGTATTTGACCCCCTCTCAATCAGAAAGATTTCTGGCTCCCAGGTGTCTTTTATACAGGTAACGAGCTGAGATTAGGAGCACACTCTTAAAGGGAGTGCTCTTAATCTCAGTTTGTTACCTGTATAAAAGACACCTGTCCACAGAAGCAATCAATCAATCAGATTCCAAACTCTCCACCATGGCCAAGACCAAAGAGCTCTCCAAGGATGTCAGGGACAAGATTGTAGACCTACACAAGGCTGGAATGGGCTACAAGACAATCGCCAAGCAGCTTGGTGAGAAGGTGACAACAGTTGGTGCGATTATTCGCAAATGGAAGAAATACAAAAGAACTGTCAATCTCCCTCGGCTTGGGGCTCCATGCAAGATCTCACCTCGTGGAGTTGCAATGATCATGAGAACGGTGAGGAATCAGCCCAGAACTACACGGGAGGATCTTGTCAATGATCTCAAGGCAGCTGGGACCATAGTCACCAAGAAAACAATTGGTAACACACTACGCCGTGAAGGACTGAAATCCTGCAGCGCCCTCAAGGTCCCCCTGCTCAAGAAAGCACATATACAGGCCCATCTGAAGTTTGCCAATGAACATCTGAATGATTCAGAGGGGAACTGGGTAAAAGTGTTGTGGTCAGATGAGACCAAAATTGAGCTCTTTGGCATCAACTCAACACGCCGTGTTTGGAGGAGGAGGAATGCTGCTTATGACCCCAAGAACACCATCCCCACCGTCAAACATGGAGGTGGAAACGTTATGCTTTGGGGGTGTTTTTCTGCTAAGGGGACAGGACAACTTCACCGCATCAAAGGGACGATGGACGGGGCCATGTACCGTCAAATCTTGGGTGAGAACCTCCTTCCCTCAGCCAGGGCATTGAAAATGGGTCGTGGATGGGTATTCCAGCATGACAATGACCCAAAACATACGGCCAAGGCAACAAAGGAGTGGCTCAAGAAGAAGCACATTAAGGTCCTGGAGTGGCCTAGCCAGTCTTCAGACCTTAATCCCATAGAAAATCTGTGGAGGGAGCTGAAGGTTCGAGTTGCCAAACGTCAGCCTCAAAACCTTAATGACTTGGAGAAGATCTGCAAAGAGGAGTGGGACAAAATCCCTTCTGAGATGTGTGCAAACCTGGTGGCCAACTACAAGAAACGTCTGACCTCTGTGATTGCCAAAAAGGGTTTTGCCACCAAGTACTAAGTCATGTTTTGCAGAGGGGTCAAATACTTATTTCCCTCATTAAAATGCAAATCAATTTATAACATTTTTGACATGCGTTTTTCTGGATTTTTTTGTTGTTATTCTGTCTCTCACTGTTCAAATAAACCTACCATTAAAATTATAGACTGATCATTTCTTTGTCAGTGGGCAAACGTACAAAATCAGCAGGGGATCAAATACTTTTTTCCCTCAGTGTATAGGCTAATATATATTTTGCCTTACCGGCAGGGAGGCATGATGCTGACGTCCTAATGCAGTGCTCAAATGAGCCTCCAGCTCAAGCCTGCAATGGTCCGACTCTGCCAACTGGCCCTTCAACTCCTCAACCTTTAATCACAAGACACAGAGATACAGTACGTCCACCGTTAAGCCAACCAGCAGCAGAGAAAGCATCTCATAACTTTAACATTGTTCCTGTTAGGAATAATGTTGAGATACACAGACTCACCCTCCTGTTGCAGGTCTCCAGTAGAATCCCCATATCCTCTTTATCCTTGCCCTTGGACTCAGTGTACAATGGAACAGTCTTCTCCTGTCTATAGGCAGTCCTCTCCACCTGCTGCCAGCATTGTTCAATCTCCCTCTGCACCCTCTGGTGAGTCTTGGGTGACCTGGGACTGATGTCTCTCATAGGGAAGCCTAGCATGCTGTCATACCTCCTCCTCCTCTCCTCTCGCCTCCTCTTCCTCTCCAGGTCCCCTACCTCCATCTGAAGAGGCTCCTTTGTCTCCTCCTGCTGCACCTCCTGCTCAGAGGCTAGCAGGACCATAGGCCTGAACTCAGCCCAGTCAAAGGTCTTGGAGCGCCCTTCGCGTCTCCTCTCACGGATGCGGATCTGTTTGGGGCCCTGGACTCTCTCTGTAGGGACCTCAGAGGAGGGGGAGGAGTCCTGGGTCACGTCTGGCTTAGGGTGGGCCAGGGACTCTGATGGGCTGCAGGGGATACGATGGACTGGCAAGCTGCTTTACAATCACAACAGAATAATACAAATACTTACTGACCGAGGAAACGAGGTATTCTGCCTAAACAAAGGTACAGACCTTCCCATCACTACTATAGAATGGTGGTAGGCTACTAATGTATTACTATGTAGTAGTGCGGGTGGTATGACAGATGGCATTTACCTGGCTACATCAGGAGCTTTAGATGGATGGACATTCTTCATGAGGGCCTGGATCCAGTTTCTCCGTATCCCTGCAGTCATGGCTGACAGAGTAAAGACACACTTCTGGGTCTGAGGGAAGATATTAGGAATATTACTTTGATTGAGTATAGGAGACTTATGTATAGAATGGATCAACATTCATCTGTTGATTTAGATTTTTGTAGATATAGATTTAGTCTTACATGGATCTGAAAGCCGTAGTTCCTCTGGACCTGGTACTCTGAGACATTATGACACTTGGTCAAGTCAATCTCCCCGTCCAGATCTGAGTTCTAACAAGAGAAGATGACAAACATCAATTCAAAAGACTTGGGATGAGAAAATACCAACAACATGTTTCTCTGTCATCACAAAATCACATCTCTGTGTGCACTGCATTGAATAAAAATGAAAATGAACATGAACTTGCCTCCTCTGCAAGGGAATCCTTGTAGTACCTCAGACTGTCAGCTGACAGCACAAACCAGTATTTCCTCCACTAGAGGGGAGCAGAAATACATTATAAGGGATAGTAGATACAGAAACCTACATAATACATTTGAACAGTCAGGCTTCACCTTCATAGTAAGGACCCACAGCACCTTCAAAATCACTAAATGTACATGCACACATTCAGCATCCATGTGCCTTTGGGGTAGAAATGTGGGAATGTGTTAAGTGAAGTAAAACACATTCTTGATCTGTCCATTCCTATACCTGATCCCCTTTATCCAGTTTCATCATCCACCCTTTCTTGAAGTTCAGCAAATCAGGCTGCAAGGAAGATAAGATAGTAAGTTAGTCAGGAGGCCAATGAGGCACGGTCATACAGTTGTTTTCAGACACTTCAACATAAAAGTAAACTGCTGTCAATCCACTTGGGGCTTTCATTTATACTTGTTTGAATTATGAGAGCATCCTTGTTTGAACTGTGACAGTTTTCTGACATGTTTTACAACTTGACCCCATGCCTTCAGTGCACAGGAATTCCAAAAGTAACAACCACTCACAGTCATGACAGACTCTGAGGTCCTGCGGTCCAGTGACTTAGCTCTTCTCTGAGGAGGAGGGACGGTGAGTTGACCTGGGCTTAGATCTCCACACGACTGCAGTTTCTGGGTGTAACAACAGGACACTATCAATTACTGAAGTAACAATGTAGAAGGTGTAAAATGGGTTAGCAAATGTGATCATATCCTGTATTACTGTAAGCTTGTTGCAAATAAAAAATGAGATTAGGTTTTTTCCCCTTTACTCTATCATGACTGAGACAGCTTGGACGTGTGCATTGTATCAAGCAGAGAACCTACGAGTCATGGCAGGTCTCTGGCAGGCAGTGTTGTGAGATGTAAGGCTTATTGTGGGACACAGCAGGAGAGAGGAACTACTCTTTATACAGGGGCTATTAAACCTTACTCACATTAAGAATGAGTTCCACTCTGGTGACTGGGCTTGGCTGGGGAGTGTATGAAAAGACTTTGGAGGCTGTATTATCCCTGATGGCCCCTGGCATCCAGTCTCACAAGCCCAGGGATGTTAAAAGTCCCAAATCTGTCTTGACAAGATTCTCACATCCCTGTCTGTTACCTACCAAAGCTACCTCATATTGGGTTTCATCCTGGCTAACTAAATAGCTCTAACAACACATCAGAGAGTCCCTTTTAAGTCTAGATTAGCCACCGCTAAATGAAACTAGAGTCAGCGGCACCATATGAAACAAGATTATTTTCTCATTTACTTGAGCCTTCAAAAGCCTCATTCTTTTCACTCTTACGTAATAAAAAAAAAAGACTTCAGTAAATACAGAACATTCTTTGTCTGTGCCCAGCTATTTTCATAGAAAACTATCCAAGTACACATAACAGTAACATCAGGGAGAGAACACTGCTCCCGGCAGCAGTGTGAACTAGCCTCCTGGCGACAAACACTGACCATTCTGGACTGTTGCTGTCTTCCGATGAAGTCCCTTTTCCCTAGGATAGGATGGGAAAAGGGAAGTGGGACTATCTGGGGAATCTGAGCCTGGGGGACAGAGTGAACTCTGACCTCTAACTCCAATACCCCCCAAAAAAACACTGGAACTGAAGGAACATCAATTATCACATGGGATAAGATGTTCAGCCGGGCAGGAACTTAAGAGGAAAATCCTACAGAGGGAGACTGTATATTTAATCAGAGATTAAACGTTCAACCTTTGACCCTATGGGATGGCCATACTGTGTATGGTGTGTCTAACTAAATCATATTACTGGGTTCAACAGTTCATACAGTATCTCATAATATAAACAGAAAGATATACAGTACACCAGCTATAGTCTGTGAAACATCAACTACAAGCGGCCGGTTGCACCTTAATTGGAGAGGACAGGCTCATAGTAATGGCTGGAACGGAATTAATGGAATGGTATCAAACACGTGTTCGATACCATTCCATTTACTCCATTCCAGACATTATTATGAGCTGTCCACCCCTCAGCAGCCTCCTGTGACATCAACAGTATGTTGTCTACATCTAGTACAACGTGCATACTGTGTACCAGTATGGACTGTACATGTGTTCTATACTGTACTGCTAATCCTAAATACTGGTCATGTATTTGTTGTTGTCAGGAGTAGACAGACTGGTACTTATGCTTTGGTCACCACCTTAATCACCAGGAGCCAGTCTGTGAACATGGTGACTGTCATTTCACAAACAGATGTGCACTTGGCTCAGGAGATACTGTACAGTGGTAGCGCCCAGCTTCAAACACATGACCAACAGCATCTCCCTATACAGTGAGGGAAAAAAGTATTTGATCCCCTGCTGATTTTGTACGTTTGCCCACTGACAAAGACATGATCAGTCTATAATTTTAATGGTAGGTTTATTTGAACAGTGAGAGACAGAATAACAACAACAAAATCCAGAAAGACGCATGTCAAAAATGTTATAAATTGATTTGCATTTTAATGAGGGAAATAAGTATTTGACCCCCCTGCAAAACATGACTTAGTACTTGGTGGCAAAACCCTTGTTGGCAATCACAGAGGTCAGACATTTCTTGTAGTTGGCCACCAGGTTTGCACACATCTCAGGAGGGATTTTGTTCCACTCCTCTTTGTAGATCTTCTCCAAGTCATTAAGGTTTCGAGGCTGATGTTTGGCAACTCGAACCTTCAGCTCCCTCCACAGATTTTCTATGGGATTATGGTCTGGAGACTGGCTAGGCCACTCCAGGACTTTAATGTGCTTCTTCTTGAGCCACTCCTTTGTTGCCTTGGCCATGTGTTTTGGGTCATTGTCATGCTGGAATACCCATCCACGACCCATTTTCAATGCCCTGGCTGAGGGAAGAAGATTCTCACCCAAGATTTGACGGTACATGGCCCCGTCCATCGTCCCTTTGATGCGGTGAAGTTGTCCTGTCCCCTTAGCAGAAAAACACCCCCAAAGCATAATGTTTCCACCTCCATGTTTGATAGTGGGGATGGTGTTCTTGGGGTCATAGGCAGCATTCCTCCTCCTCCGAACACGGCGAGTTCAGTTGATGCAAGAAAGCTCGATTTTGGTCTCATCTGACCACAACACTTTCACCCAGTTCTCCTCTGAATCATTCAGATGTTCATTGGAAAACTTCAGACGGCCCTGTATATGTGCTTTCTTGAGCAGGGGGACCTTGCAGGCGCTGCAGGACTTCAGTCCTTCACGGCGTAGTGTGTTACCAATTGTTTTCTTGGTGACTATGGTCCCAGCTGCCTTGAGATCTTTGATTATTTCCATCTTGATTGTAGATAGCCTAGCCATGGGCGGCAGGTAGCTTAGTGGGTAAGAGCGTTGTGCCAGTAACCGAAAGGTCGCTGGTTCTAATCCCCGAGCCGACTAGGTGAAAAATCTGTTGATGTGCCCTTAAGCAAGGCACTTAACCCTAATTGCTCATGTAAGTCGCTCTGGATAAGAGCGTCTGCTAAATGACGTAAATGTAAATAAGATCCTCCCGTGTAGTTCTGGGCTGATTCCTCACCGTTCTCATGATCACTGCAACTCCACAAGGTGAGATCTTGCATGGAGCCCCAGGGAGATTGACAGTTCTTTTGTGTTTCTTCCATTTGCGAATAATCGCACCAACTGTTGTCACCTTCTCACCAAGCTGCTTGGCGATGGTCTTGTAGCCCATTCCAGCCTTGTGTAGGTCTACAATCTTGTCCCTGACATCCTTGGAGAGCTTTTTGGTCTTGGCCATGGTGGAGAGTTTGTAATCTGATTGATTGATTGCTTCTGTGGACAGGTGTCTTTTATACAGGTAACAAACTGAGATTAGGAGCGCTCCCTTTAAGAGTGTGCTCCTAATCTCAGCTCGTTACCTGTATAAAAGACACCTGGGAGCCAGAAATCTTTCTGATTGAGAGGGGGTCAAATACTTATTTCCCTCATTAAAATGCAAATCAATTTATAACATTTTTTACATGCGTTTTTCTGGATTTTGTTGTTGTTATTCTGTCTCTCACTGTTCAAATAAACCTACCATTAAAATTATAGACTGATCATTTCTTTGTCAGTGGGCAAACGTACAAAATCAGCAGGGGATCAAATACTTTTTTCCCTCACTGTAGATACAACAGCTCCCTACAGATACAACAGCTCCCTACAGATACAACAGCTCCCTACAGATACAACAGCTCCCTACAGATACAACAGCTCCCTACAGATACAACAGCGCCCTACAGATACAACAGCTCCCTACAGATACAACAGCTCCCTACAGATACAACAGCTCCCTACAGATACAACAGCTCCCTACAGATACAACAGCTCCCTACAGATACAACAGCTCCCTACAGATACAACAGCTCCCTACAGATACAACAGCTCCCACAGATACAACAGGTCCCTACAGATACAACAGGTACCTACAGATACAACAGGTCCCTAAAGATACAACAGCTCCCTACAGATACAACAGCTCCCTACAGATACAACAGGTCCCTACAGATACAACAGGTCCCTACAGATACAACAGGTCCCTACAGATACAACAACTCACAGTTAAAATATCTGTCCTTTGCCTTCCTTTGATTCTGATGTCAATTAAAGCAGCAGTATATCCAGATAGGATATGAAAGCCTTGGGTGGCATTGTACTGTAAGATACCATCACTGTTATGAGTTAGCAGAGGTTTGTCTGGGACATTGTACTGTAAGCTACCATCACTGTTATGAGTTAGCAGAGGTTTGTCTGGGTCTCACAGGCAGATCCCTAATTACATAGTATCCATGTTTAGGGTACATGGAAAATGTGTCTAAGAGGAATGCCATTCTGAGATTACAACACACAACATGAAGTGCAGATGGAGCCCCGTCAGAACATTAAAACCAGTTTAGTTAGAGAACAAAACACAGTAGTGAATTATTCACCTTCTTCTCTCTGTCTTACTCACACTAACACATGCCTCAACACGGCTGATGGGAGGACTGACTTAGCCATGCCAAACTCTCATCACCTGCATTTCGGTACGGAACTAAACACACATACATTGACACACGTGGCACACACACACACCTGACAGTGTTGACACACACACATACATTGACACATGTGGCACACACACACACCTGACAGTGTGGAATGTAAGAGTACCGCTTCATCCCTGTCCATGAGCCTTACACACTATGCAATCAGGCCAGGGCCGAAACGTGTGAGGTGACGTCTTTGCCTCTCCAACACCTGGTCTTATGAGTCATGTCCAAACAAGTCCAATGGAGAACTAGCGGGACCAGATGTGCGGTGTGCATGTGTACATTACCTTAACAATGATGGACTCCATCAATGATGTGTAAAATACCAATCTATATGTGTATTCATTGGACACTGTCCTAAAGGGGTCTGCCAAAAGGGCAATGCTTGCCTTGGGCCCTCCTGGTGGGTAACAGGTGTTGTTATTCTTAAATGCTATGGTTACTCTTTGGATTATGAGGTGTGGTTCGAGTGATGGTGTTAAAGTGGAGGAATGTGACAAGCCTTACAGGGAGTGACTGGGAGGACTGATTGCAGTGTAAAAAGACTGGGATGGTGTGACTAATACCTCTCTCTGGTTGCTGCGAGCTTCACTCCTGCCCTTCCTGGATCCAGCCTGACCCAGGTCCTCTCCCACAGCACACCTCCCAGCCTTCCCTGGCTCATTGTAGCAGCTGAAAAGCAGGAAAATCAGGTCTGTCATTCAACAAACAGCCATGGCGTCCTCCATGGCCCATCACAGGTGGGCTGTGACATCACTTCCAGCAGGAACAACGTCAGGATGACAGATGAATTATGTCACCACCGCTTGCTCTGTACTCCCAAGCTGGGCCTAGCCTGATGACATCCATGTCACCTACATCCATCTAGTGCTATTGTTGAGTTGGAAGTTCAAGTGACATCCTCACCTCCAGTGTCATGTTTTGTTTAGAAAGAGAGCAGATATTACATAGATGGAATTCCCTAGAAGGAATCTGATATTGAAATTTTGTATATATAACCACAAAAGCGAATACTATCTAATAAACTGAGGGTGTAGCATCTCTCCTGTTATAACAGGGATGGTAAATTCCTGTTGAGGCATGTGTGTATCTGTATGAGTTGGCACAAACATAATACTGTGCCCTCAGTCAGTATAATGTCTTGCCTTGACATTTCTCCTACTTTCTGTTGACTGGCAGTTTGTGAGGAACTCAGAAATAGAATTCCTGAAAAATATCTAATTATACAATCCTTTAGGAATTTCAAGGCCTTATTCGGGGCAAGGATTCTGTCTGTCCCTAGAAGGCAATGAATGAAACACACAGACCAAGGAGGTATTCCCGTCACATAGCCCAAATACTATATATTCTGTTAGTCAGGGCACAAACTGGGAGTGCTTCTATAAGCTAAATTTAAAAAGCGTTTCCTCCCTAATGGAAGGATATGGGTCTTTGATGTGCTGTTGGGCTGTGTGTAATGTGTGTACCATTTTATACAGAGAGAAACAGGGAGGCATCTGCTGTCCTTTAGTGCTAATTGCTAGCACATTTGGTCCTAGCCCCTGCCAAACCAGTTTTATGCCTGTTAGCATTTGCATGACGACACACAACAAATACAAAACCAAAATTAATAACATTTCAACTAATGTCCAAGAACGTTGCGTTCATTATAGATCTCCCAATATCAGACACAACTGATTACATTTCTGCTCCATGATTCTCACCTTCTCTCTGCCCTGTTGTTCTTGTTGGCAGGTAGGAGGCCTCTGTATGGCGTAGGCTCTGTGGGCTGGCTGTCGCTGCTGGTGTCAGTCCCCTCGCTAGCCACAGAGTCCAGGGAACTCACAGAGCTACTGATGCAGGAGCCGTTGGAGAGTCGCAGACTACTGTCAAAGGTCAGGGAGTCACTGGAGGCTGAAGGGAGGTAGTGGGGATCATGACCTGAGGAGATTTATTAAATAAAGAGGGTTGTTTTCAGACACTTTTCTCAGTGACTGCACAGGTTAGGTCTATGTTTTGCGTGATACTGCAGGTCATTGCTTGTGGACCGAAACACAAATAGCAGGACAGTGGCAAGATTTTTATGAGAATCCTGTTCTGAAAAATCTAACTTTTAAGACTTGTTATATGAGGAATATGGTCAGATAGTCACTATAATGTCTCCCATCTAAGGAAGTGTCACCTTTGACCATAGTAGACATTTGAGGGACACCACTACATAGTGTCACTCCAAAGTTGCACCTAGCGGACCACAACTCATTAAAGAGATGCATATAGTTTGTTTTCCGTTTCATCTGCTCCCAAGCCATGGAAAAGCAGCTCTAATATCTGTAACCTACATCAGCCTAACGAAGTCCCCTACAGGCAGTCTGCACTACAGGAGTTGGTCCTGCTCTCTGTTATAACCTAGGTCCAGACACACCAATAAGTCTGCCTCCACATAGTTAGTGTGCACTTACCGTTCATCACATGACCGCTATTAAGAGAAATGTCTGCTCTGCTCGCATAATTCATCTTAGTTGTGTCTGTGAAATATATTAGAGAATTGTTTACCATGAGCCTTGCATCCTTTTCTACAGTCTTTCAATAACACTACTACACTGGTAATGAATCTGTCCACTAATAAAGGCCAACTTTCTCATCCTGTATGCATGACCACCTGCAGGAAGTTAAGACAGTGTTAGAGGGCAGGAAATGGCTGTGAATGTCTGACAGACATAAAAGCCTGTCTGAGTGTGTGTGTGTATGTGTGTTGGCTGGTGTCTTTCCTCCACACCTGCAGGGGTCTCGTCCTGGCCCGGGGGATCAGTATCTGTCACAGTCCAGACAGGGGCCGCATCCGGACCCTCACCAGGCCGCTTTCCCTGCCACAGGCTGGAGCGAGGGTCACCACTTTCCATGACTGAGAAACTGGGCTCAGTGGCAGCCATCTTTGCTGGGCTGGGCTCCTGATGGAACACAATAACATCTTCATTATCATAATGTGTAAAGGCATAACACATCGTTGACATATTTTTCTGCAGTATTTTCAAACATGTATTTAGGCCACCGGTGACCAGGTATCTTGGTCACAATGTTATGAAAAGAAGAAGTTGTCACCTGGGAAGTAGTGGGTTCTACTTTACGTTTCTTCTTCTGATTCTGCTTATAGGTCCGTGGGTAAACAACTAGTTGTTCACTCCAGCTGGTAAAAGCAAAACAACACGGACAGGACAGGGATTCAAAGTATTGTCCATCAAATACTAGAATTTACAGAGAAGTTAAGTAAGGAGTGATACCGTATCATACTGTAATATCAGAGAAGTTAAGTCAGGAGTGATACCGTATCATACTGTAATATCAGAGAAGTTAGTCAGGGGAGAGAAGTTAAGTCAGGAGTGATACCGTATCACACTGTAATATCAGAGAAGTTAAGTCAGGAGTGATACCGTATCACACTGTAATATCAGAGAAGTTAAGTCAGGAGTGATACCGTATCATACTGTAATATCAGAGAAGTTAAGTCAGGAGTGATATCATATCACACTGTAATATCAAATAAGTATTACTGACCCATTGATGATCTCCTTGTTCTCCCCCCGGATAAACAACTCCTGTTCAGGTGTGATGACGCACAAAGCGTTCTTCTGGCCTGTCTTAGGCTCTGCGTCAATCACCTCTGTACACAGATTCATGTTCACTGTGCCTTGTGGCAGAGTGCTTGTCTAAAGGAAAGATACACAATGTCAATCATTTTGTCTGACTGGAAATTCTGGCACAGATTATGATGCTATTCATGGTATCTTTGGTACACCATCTTTAAATATAACAAAAGATATATAATTATATTTGGAGGGTTAAAGGTCATCATGAACAAGACGTTACCCGTTGCAACTGAGTTTTAATATAGGCTATATAGAGTGACATGAAAGAGAGCAGAGGAGGAGGTTTCAGAAGATCAGTGGGAGAGGGGGATGTGGCATTAGAGGAGAGATTAAGCCCAAGTCATCTGCTATGGTGCTACACACAACATCTGGCCAAAAGATGCAGTGAATCCACTCATAACACATTAAAACATACATCAGAACAATTTACTGTAGTTCACCTCTATTTATGTTGGCTGGTCTAGTTTGCTTAGCTTTTTGGTGTGTGTTCAAATACAGAATCTCTTACCAACTTGTCCAGTGCAAAGCTCAAGCTGCCATGTTCATACAGGATGAAGAATCGACGCTGCCATTTCTGCCATTTAGAGATAGAGTTGTTATGGATAATGTTAAAATATTGAATAACTTGTAGGTTTATCAGAATATAGTCTAGTACGATTGATATATTTGTGTACAACATAGTCCAAGAATAGAACGTTATTTTCATTCTCTTACCCTTGACCTCTGAATTGGATTGTCAAAGTCTGTCCCCTCAGGAGCCAAGCAGAGCCAGCCTCCATAGATGGGTTTGGCCTGTCAAGAATGGGAACACAAGGAGAAATGAGTTGGGTCCTCTGAGATGCAAAATGCTCAGGATCTGATCTCAAATAAGCCTACTTGATCTTAACCTGTGAAGGTTCTATCCCATGAAATAGTTTTTCTATGCCATCCTATGGAGCTTGGCTTTTTCTGGCAGGGAGCATCAATACTCTTTCATTCACGTTTTGAATGACAAAGGAATAACAATCCTATATTTTTAGGGAATGTTCATGTTGGTTTAGCCAGTGCCAGTTCGTGCTTCAGTGTTCTTATAGTGCTATGCTGCATTTACAAAATGTGTCAACATATTAAGTATGTCCATGCAATAGGTCAGAAATAAGAGGCAGGGGTAATCTTGTTGACATGGAAAAGAGAAGATAAACTGCTCTATTTGAGATGTCCCCAAAGACTGGAATGTTCTGACTCTCTGCCAGTTACTCAACTTACTCAACTCTTAGTCAGAGAGTGTTGTTCCTTGTGTTATGAGTGCTTCTCAACATGAGATAGCTTCTCAACATGAGACAATTCTTTCCTCAAAACCAAATTCCAACAGACTTGAATACTTTATACTTAACCTTCACACCTGAATCAGATGCTTTAAAACAGGAGCTTACTTAGCTGAGGCCCATTGAACAATGGCTCTAAATGTACAAGGCACACAGAGATGAGCACAAAAGGACCAGATAGCAATGGTGTATATGTTTTCTGAAAGAATAATAACCTGTTGTAACATATGGCATGCTGAGTGCTGACAGTTGAGGTCTCTTTACAAAAGTGTGTGAGGCATGTGGTGACAAATATTTGACTCATGCATTGGGGCCATTCAGTCAAATTGGTTCATTTTCTACAACATGTAAGATATTGTGTCTGTTCATTCAATTTCACTAATGAACGTGATACCTGACACAATATGAAGGAATGTCTCTGTCTGATATAACATTGAGTGCATGCCTATCTGTCATCAACATTCAGAAGACTAATAGCCAAAGTATTAAAACTATAAAAACATAAAATGTGTTTGTTCACTTACCTGGTCCTTACAATGATCAGTCGGAAGATGCAGCTCCTGAGACTTGAAGCAGTTCTGACATTTACTTTTATAAAAAATGTTGGCTTGGAATTTATTACACGGATTCGCACTATTTTGTCCAGACATTTTGTCGTATATAGGCTACTACTATGTAAATCCGAAATGCTCGCCAATACTCTCTTCTTTGCGGGGCAGTTTATCCGTTTCGAACATCTGTCAAATCCTATGCGCTTTGAGCTCTTCCCGACCGGTCGAAATCTGGGAAATCCAGGCAGCTGAGGAGTTGGCTATATAAATCCAACCTGGACTCAGGGGTAGACGTAATATAGCAAACGAAAATATGTGAAATGCATATTAGTATGATGACGGCTTTGTCATTAGGGCGAGTTGGCGACGCACTGCCAACGGAAAGGAGGGATTTTTTGTCTCATCATCATAAAAATAAATACAAAATAATATTTTTTTTTTAAATAAATTAAAAAAATTTGTATCCGGCAACTGCATAATCATGATACGTCTGATCGACAGCCGCTAAATGTCGTATCACTATGTTAAATTCCCGCCGTTTGTTGATTTCATCAGTTGAATACGCCCGAAGTCTATACTAGCTCTTAGTATCTTTTCTTCACATTTAAGCTTTCAATACATCTCTATGGGGTTCTGTGGCTTTGCATTACGCGTTTCGTTACATACGTAACACGAATGAACTAACTAGAAAGACCGGTTACATGCTCAATAAATCACTACTACTACTAAAATGGCTCTTCAGTCCAACTCGTTGTGTCTTTGAAAGAAGTTCCTTTTGTCGGCGAACAAATTAAGATAAATTGGCAACGAAACAATTAGGACCTCCCAGACCAAATTTAATAATTCAACAGGTTTCTACTAAAGGCGGAAAGTCCTACACCCGAGGATTTTCCAAAAATTGGTACGAACGAAAAAAGACATTGCCACTCACTCAACTGGATGACGAGGGATACAGGCTAGCTGTCCGCCGCCACAACGATGAGGTTAGTGTTGATAATCACAAGTTTACTGGATGTGGATATGGTGTAATAAAGGCAGTTTATTCAGAGGTAAATATATCTGGAATCGCGTTCACGGACCCGTTCGTCAAACTCTTAGGGAGCTATAAATTAAGCCCCATTACTTACCATATCAGATAAGAGAAATTGCTGCAGCTACATATATTTTACATCCTGGCCCTACATAGTTCACTATTTGCATCACTTACCAAATATTACATGTGGTCATATATGCTTGGAAAGTGGAGATGCCATAGAACGTCAAAAAAGTAAACATTGCTGGAGACACATTGTCGTTTTGGAGAAGACATCGCGTTTGCTAGCGAAGAGATTTGTTGTGGCAAATGAACTTGGCCTGGGAATTGCCAGGAACCTCACGATAAGATATATGCATCAGCATTGCGAGTCTCATGATTCTATACGTATTGCGATTCGATACTGTGATTTTATTGCGCACCATATGTCTGTTGCAGAGGGATCAGAAAGCCATGAGAACGAGTTTTGATCAGTCATGGAAATAAAAGTGCTGAAAACTAATTGGCTCCCAATGTGAAAAGATTGAGAACAAGCTATGAAGGAACAATAATGGTGTTTTGGTGCAGGTACAGCCAACTAGCGCTAAAATATTGCGATATTGTCAATACAGTATATCGTAAAGTATCACTATGTAACTCGATTTCTTTCACCCCAATCCCTCAAATTAACGGTAAATAACTGAATTGTTTGCCCCACATTTAGCTAAGATGATTAGCTAGCCAGCTAAAATGTTTTATTTAGTTAGCAGTCGCATCTACAATAGTTTACTGTCAATAACATGTCTCCAAAAATGACGTGGTGTCTCCAATTGTGTTGACATTTTACAATTGCAATGCGCATCCATGAGTATCCACTTTCTGTAGCTCAGCTGGTAGAGCATGGTGCTTGTAACGCCAAGGTAGTGGGTTCGATCCCCGGGACCACCCATACACAAAAATGTATGCACGCATGACTGTAAGTCGCTTTGGATAAAAGCGTCTGCTAAATGGCATATTATTTATTATTATTATTATCTGAAGAGAGCCCCGAAACATTGTGTGCAGACATTTTATGCAATAAATGAAGTAGGTTCAATCTAGTAGTTCTGATCTTCTGATTGGTCCTGATGAGTTGGGCGAGGTCACCTCCAGGCTACTGTCACTGTTGCATTGGCTCTGAGTCGGGTTCTCTGTCTTCAAATGTTCAGCCTAAGAGAGGGGATTTTTGTGTGTGTGTGTGTGTGTGTTTAACAGTGATGATGTGTGTGTGTGTGTGTGTGTTTAACAGTGATGATGTGTGTGTGTGTGTGTTTGTGTGTGTGTGTGTCCTCAGAGCAAGAACTCGTGAGTTGGAAGAACTGAGAGGCCTATGGCGTGGGTGTTGTCCTTGGCCACCTGCTGACAAGGCTGACAAGATAGGACCCTTTTGTCCATTGTTATTGGATAGGAACAGAACTTATAACCAGCTCCTGACCTAAATAGATCTTAGCACAACATTTTACTCAACATATCATATTCCATATTCACTATAACAAATATATTTACTACGACATTAGCAAGAACCGCCACATCCTCAGCCGGCTAATCCAGTGTGTGAAGTTTTGCGGAGTGTTTGAGTTAGCTTTGCGAGGCAAAGATGAAACTGAGGGCTCCACCAACCCTGGTAAGCCAACACTTTTGAGATCAGTCAATAAATGCTTCTGGTATTGACTTATATGCTGCCCCTGTCTTCATGTTGTTTGATATGTTACATTTGGTATTGTAAGTATTCATTTATGGATGTTCATCATCCATTTAGCATGATATGTTATGAATTACAATTTGTATGATCTGTTACAATTCGTATGATATCTTACGATTTGCAATTCGTACAATATGTTACGAATTCCAATTTGTTGTGGCTAATGTTAGCTTGGTGGCTAACGCTAACGTTAGCTAGGTGGCTAATGTTAGCTAGGCTAGGGGTTAGTGTTAGAGGTTATGGTTAAGGTTAGGGTTAAGGTCAGAGATGGGCATTAGCTCTGTTACATGTATTTGAAATATGTACACTACTGTTCAAAAGTTTGGGGTCACTTAGAAATGTCCTTGTTTTCGAAAGAAAAACAATTTTTTTTGTCCATTAAAATAACATTAAATTGATCAGAAATACAGTGTAGACATTGTTAATGTTGTAAATGGCTATTGTAGCTGGAAACGGCTGATATTTAATGGAATATCTACATAGGCGTACAGAGGCCAATTATCAGCAACCATCAGTCCTGTGTCCAATGGCACGTTGTGTTTGCTAATCCAAGTTGATCATTTTAAAAGGCTAATTGATCATTAGAAAACCCTTTTGCAATTATGTTAGCACAGCTGAAAACTGTTGTGCTGATTAAAGAGGCAATAAAACTGGGCTTCTTGAGACTAGTTGAGTATCTGGAGCATCAGCAATTATGGGTTCGTTTACAGGCTCAAAATGGCCAGAAACAAATAACTTTCTTCTGAAACTCGTCAGTCTATTCTTGTTCTGAGAAATGAAGGCTATTCCATGCGAGAAATTGCCAAGAAACTGAAGATCTCGTACAACACTGTGTACAACTCCCTTCACAGAACAGCGCAATCTGTCTCTAACCAGAATAGAAAGAGGAGTGGGAGGCCCCGGTGCACAACTGAGCAAGAGGAACAAATACATTAGGTGTCTAGTTTGAAAAACAAGTGCCTCACAGGTCCTCAACTGGCAGCTTCATTAAATAGTACCCGCAAAACACCAGTCTCAACGTCAACAGTGAAGAGGCGACGCCGGGATGCTGACCTTCTAGGCAGAGTTGCAAAGAAAAAGCCATATCTCAGACTGACCATCTTAATCTTTTATTTGATGGCCAGTCTGAGATATGGCTTTTTCTTATTAATGTAGATATTCATTAATAATCAGCCGTTTCCAGCTACAATAGCCATTTACAACATTAACAATGTCTACAGTGATCAATTTGATGTTATTTTAAATGGCCAAAAAATATGCTATATCTTTCGAAAACAAGGACATTTCTAAGTGACCCCAAACTTTTGAACGGTAGTCTATTTGAAATACTTCTGAGTATTTTGTATAACACTGGGCTGAACTACACTCCAATGTATTTTGTAACAAGATACTTTCGAGAGCTGTAATTTGTATTTTCAAAATACAAAATACGTTTCTATAGCATTTTTATAGTGGTTCACAATTTTGTGGCCCCCTTTAACTCTGCATTAGTATCAGAAGTCTGATGGCACTATGGTGTGATAAGAGCGTCTGCTAAATGAACTAAGTATAAATGTATATGAAAAAATGGACAATTGTAAAGCATGCTAAAGTATTATTGAAATGAGCTCCAACCCAAAACAAGGTACAAGGTACCTTATTATTACAAGGTAATAATACCCAGTGTGCTTTGTAGTTCATTTTGGTATGTTCATTTTCACATATACATTTTGGTCATTTATCACACACTCTTATCCAGTGACTTACAGTCATTGCATTCAACTAAGGTAGATAAACAACAACATATTACAGTTATAGCACGTAAGAAGTTTCTTTAACCGTTACTGAGAGTGTTGTTGCTGTTCGGTGCCGGCTACTTGCAAATATATTTCTGTATTTTGTATTTTAAAATACATAAATATATCTCAATTAAATACATTTCAAAATACAAGTATTGTGTAGTTTAATAGGATATATTGATCTTTATGGTATTTTGTGTAATTATATTTTGTAATTGTATTTTGTACATTTTGCCCATCTCTGGTTAAGATTAGGGTTAAGAGTTAGGTTAAAGGGTTAGGGAAAGGGTTAGCTAACATGCTAAGAACTTGCAAAGTAGCTAAAAAGTAGTAAGTAGTTGCAAAGTTGCTAATAAGCTAAAATGCTGAAGTTGTCCGTGATGAGATTCAAACACGCAACCGTTGAGGTTGCTACACGTTTGTGTTATATATACCCTCCTTTCCTTTCTGCCTTAAGTAACCTTTAGTCTTATGTAACCATACCAAACTTAACATATTATACTAATTTGAGTGTCCCGGATTTTCGTTTACTATGTTATGTCTAGTCTATGAGAACAGTCTGACAAAGCTCAACTTTGCTGCCTTCTACTGACCAAAAGCTGAACTGATAATCAGTCTGGTGTAAATTCACAGTATATTCACATTTCCTCACCTGATCTGATCTCACAAGATGCCCCTGTCCAGAAATGGACATCAGCCCTACATCACAGCGACAATAATGATATTATAGACTGACAGAGGATGCAGGCATTTATTCAAGGCAGGTTAGGTTTGTACATAAAAATGATTTCAGTTTTAGCACATTCAAAACTACATTTACAAAAACAGTATTTATAATTCATTTTAATCAATGCACTGCATTTATTTAGTTGAAAGCTGATTTCTAATTTACCCATAATGAAGCATAGTGTTTTTGTTGTAATCGTATGGGATATACAGTACATTCTAAAAAAATTCAAAGGTACTCTGACTTTTATCACAATTAATGTACTGTCATACAACAACAATGTTGGATCAACTGACATCTGCAATTTTCATGAAGCTTAAAAACCCTTTGGGTAATAATAAATTAACCAATTTTCTTCCATACAAATGCAAAAGCATCAGATAACAAAAACACAGAATATACAGTAGCTACATACATTATTTACATAAATTAAAAGCACATTTTCTAAAATCTCCTCATCCTTTCCTGTAGGACCAAATATTTCTTATTCCAAAAACTATGCATAATGTCAATTTCTATTGCCGGTATGGTATTTTTGTGACCTTGTAATTTTTTGCTGCAATCTAACACAAATTCTTAATCCAGAGCACCAACACAAAACAATCTGCACATTTCAAGGTTATGGGTTTAAACCGCTGTGAAAATGCCCAAATCATTACTTTGTAGAATTAATTGTTTTGTTCACTGTTTGTAATTATTAGTGTTGAGAGTGTTTTTCTAACACAAGTTTTAGGTGTTTGAGTTTTAAAGGGCTACTTCTGGATTTTGGCAATGAAGCCCTTTATCTACTTCTTCAGAGTCAGATGGATACAGTTTTTATGTATCTACGTGAAGGAAGTTGCTAACTAGCATTAGCGCAATTGCTAACTACCTCTTAATTCCTTCATACTGGATGCAGAGACATAAAAATGGTATCTGTGAGTTAATCTGAACCTGGCGAAGTATGTAAAGGGTTTCATTGCCAAAATCCAGAAGTATGCCTTTAAGGGAGGGGGGGGAGATACAATAACACCTCACTGTTAGTTACTTCTCAGAATCACACAGTGAAAGTATGATAGCTATCAAATATAGCTACATCTCGAGTTAACAATTCTTGAAGTTAAGAGACAAAATAAGAAAACAGCTTGTGCTCAGAATAGAATTTCACTTTTGTATCATCTCATTGACTCTAGAGTTTCAAGAAAGACAGCAACACTGGCTATGTTATATTAGTTTGGTTTTAGATCTAAGTACACATGACATTCATACTACTTCTGCAAAGGGAATCCTACACAAACAGCATGAGTGTAGATTCATTCACTGCACACAGATACTCTAACTGATATATTACACCAACAAAAAGTATCTAAAAGACATGTAAAAATCTATTATTCCCCCCCCAAAAAAATCTGTACTACTGTAGTAAATGAGGATAGGGTTACAACGTACTAGCTGTGAATACTGGAGAGAACACACGATACTTGCCATCACTGAAGAGCTGAAACCAGGTTTGAGGAAGCAGGAAAGGGGAGGTCCCAGCTAATTCCAGGTATTACCTCCTGTTTCCCCTCTACCCTAAGAACTCCTGTCTGTGATACATGTCTGGATCATAGTATTTGGTGACCACCACTCTGTTGGCAAACTTGCGGCCAGTGAGGGCCTGCATGGCTTTCTGACAGTCTGCAGCAGAAACATACTCCACAAAGATCTGAAACAAAAATAACCATCAACCTCATCAGGATCCAAATAGCAAATGTATATACAGTGCATTCGGAAAGTATTCAGACCCCTTCCCTTTTCCACATTTTGTTACATTACAGCCTTATTCTAAAATTGATAAATTAAAATACTCATCAATCTACACACAATACCCCATAATGACAAAGCAAAGACAGGTTTTAGAAATATGTGAATTTACAGAAAACAGAAATGCCTTATTTACATAAGTATTCAGACCCTTTGCTATGAGACTCGAAATTGAGCTCAGGTGCATCCTGTTTCCATTGATCATTCTTGAGATGTTTCTACAACTTGATTGGAGTCCACCTGTCGTAAATTAAATTGATTGGACATGATTTGGAAAGGCACACACCTGTCTATATAAGGTCCCATAGTTGACAGTGCATGTCAGAGCAAAAACCAAGCCATGAGGTCGAAGGAATTGTCCGTAGAGCTCCGAGACAGAATTGTGTTGAGGCACAGTTCTGGGGAAAGGTTCCAAATCATTTCTGCAGCATTGAAGGTCCCCAAGAACACAGTGGCCTCCATCATTCTTAAATGGAAGAAGTTTGGAACCACCAAGACTCTTCCTAGAGCTGGCTGCCCGGCCAAACTGAGCAATCGGGGGAGAAGGGCCTTGGTCAGGGATGTGACCAAGAACTCGATGGTCACTCTGACAGAGCTCCAGAGTTCCTCTGTGGAGATGGGAGAACCTTCCAGAAGGACAACCATCTCAGCAGCACTCCACCAATCAGGCCTTTATGGTAGAGTGGCCAGACGGAAGCCACTCCTCAGTAAAAGGCACATGACAGCCCGCTTGGAGTTTGCCAAAAGGCACCTAAAGGACTCAAGAAACAAGATTCTCTGGTCTGATGAAACCAAGATTGAACTCTTTGGCCTGAATTCCAAGCGTCACATCTGGAGGAAACCTGGCACCATCCCTACGGTGAAGCATGGTGGTGGCAGCATCATGCTGTGGGGATATTTTTCAGCAGCAGGGACTGGGATACTAGTCAGGATCGAGGGAAAGATGAATGGAGCAAATTACAGAGAGAGCCTTGTTGAAAACCTGCTCCAGAGTGCTCAGGACCTCAAACTGGGGCGAAGGTTCACCTTCCAACAGGACAACGACCCTAAGCACACAGCCAAGACAACACAGGAGTGGCTTCGGGACAAGTCTCTGAATGTCCTTGAGTGGCCCAGCCAGAGCCCGGACTTGAACCCGATCAAACATCTCTGGAGAGACCTGAAAATAGCAGTGCAGCGGCGCTCCCCATCCAACCTGACAGAGCTTGAGAGGATCTGCAGAGAAGAATGGGAGAAACTCCCCAAATACAGGTGTGCCAAGCTTGTAGCGTCATACCCAAGAAGACTCAAGGCTGTAATCCCTACCAAAGGTACTTAAATAAAGTACTGAGTAAACGGTCTGAATACTTACGTAAATGGAATAGTTTTTTTTATTTTGAATACATTTGCAAATATTTATAAAAACCTGTTTTTGCTTTGTCATTATGGGGTGTTGTGTGTAGATTGATGAGGGGGAAAAAAAACAATTTAATCAATTTTAGAATAAGGCTGTAACGTAAATTTTTTTGGAAAAAGTCAAGGGGTCTGAATACTTTCCGAATGCACTGTATGTTACTTCAACAACAATTCATACTTCATGTGGTGTATTACAGTTTTTTATTTAGTTCAGACCAATGACTTATGTTTAACAATATTGAAGAGCAGAGTCTCATGCTGTATTGAATAACCTCAGGTCAGACTCTTACCTTGCCACAGCCAGGGACCTCCACTCCGTCGACGGGCCGGGGGATCTTGATGGAGCGCACGCTGCCGTACTTGCAGCACTCCTCTCTGATGTCCTCCAGGATCTCCTCATAGTCCTCGTCGTCCACCAGCTCCTCAGGCATCACCATGTTGAGCAGGCACAGCACCTCTGTGGGCAGCCCAGACTTCTGAAGTCTCTGCAGCCCAGGCACCTGCAGCGTCACCGGGGTCTCGATGATGGCAGTCTAGGGGGGAGGAAGAAAAACAGGCCAGACAGACGGCATATTTAGACTGCTGATACTCAGATTTGTTTCTTGCAATTCAAAATGCACAAGGGAACTGCACTCACCGGATTGGCGTTTTTGGCCCCCACACTTGCTCTCTGAACGATTAGCTTTTTGTCACCTAGTTGCATGCCGTTGAGCCCAGCCACTGCCTGACAAACATACACAGAAACGTTTAAACCTTTAAAAACAAGATTGATTTGACACCAAAACAAGATAACGATAACCATGAGAAAGCATTTGCTCATCTGTACCTGATCAGTCGCACTGACGTCTACATATTCACAAAAGGCATAACCTTTGGACAGTGACGTGGCACTATCCTTCACAAGGTTGAAAGCTTTGAGTGGTCCGAATGATGTCAAGAGCTCCTTCACCTGCACAAGAGATGAAGACAAGCAGAGGCATAAGCAGGGTAATATGAATCCACCACATATTCTACTGAATGAATTCTAAGCCTCCATTTAATAGTCATGAGGAGAGAAATCATACCAAGGTGAATGGCCTGGAGAAGTGCAATAAATGACATGGTCAAAGAAAACAAAATATGTGTTTCTTATATCTGTATTTAAAAATAAAAAAATGTGTAGAATGTGTATCAGTTTCAGTGTGATGAGATTAAGATTGCTTAATTGCGAAGCAAATCAATTGTTTGTTAATAATTTGTTAATAATTTGTATATGCATACAATGGCTGGTGTTTTATAGAGTAACTATTTAATTATGACAAATACTAAATCCACAATAATCCAGGGAAACTATATATAAGGTTTTTGAAAGAGCCCTGAATGACTGATTTGCTGCATGGCAAAAACATTAACAGGCACAGACAGACAGTACTGGATTAACAAACTTTGTGTAATGTATTTATTTCAGTGCATTTTATTCATATTTTACCAGAACATTCAGTTTACTTAACAATAATATAAAGTTACTAAACAGTAATAACACGGGTTGTGTACAGGCTATAAAATTGTGCACAGGCTATAAAATCGAATACTTATATTTGCTTACTACTTCAACTGATCCATCAAAATGATGAACCCATCATCAAAGTAAACTGATTGGATATCACTTCATCTAACTCACTAAGGCACAAAATGCACCTTTTTAATACAGTCTTAACTTAATTTTTAAGGCTGAGAACCACCCCAAAACCTAACATATCGGGTATCTGATTATTTTATCCCAACCCTAACTAATTTGGTCCTTAACGCGTTCCAAAAGAGTGATGGGAGAGAGAGAAAGAGTAGCCAGGAAGGGAACCTGCTGGCTAGGAGTGTATCCGTAGGAGGAACGGAATGTCTTACTTGCCTTGTGTTACATGTTGGCATGGCAGCAGTAGATCAGTACTACTGAACAAATTATGAGCGCAGACTTAACGATCTTACAGGCCCCTAGCTGGGGACAAAGTGGGGGAACAAAAATGAAAGAGCTGTGAGTATCAAAGCAGTAGCAGTGACTGCAAGAGTAAAAAAGAATAAGAAAATAAACACCAGGGTACAATCAGGGTACTGTTTAGAAAGAAATCATGAGGAATGGAAAGTTAGAATCCAATTCATTTAGTGCACAACAACATTGCAGACCTCTGCCATTTCCCAAACTCTCTGGAACTTGGAGTGAAGATGTAGCACAGTCAGGGCTTAATATATGTTTGGTGTGAGGAATCATGGAATACGGTTGTTGGCAACCATTAGACTTAACCAGGAATTTTACTCAGGCCTGCATATTGTGTGTAAACCTAAATCTAGGATATGTTATCTCGCTGAATCTTATGAACTGGACTTTGCTTACCTTTGTCAAATAAGCATCCTTACAATGAGAAATTAGCATACAGATGAACAGTTACACTTTTATAAAGAAGATTTATCACTCACTGGAGTACTGATAATCAAGCCTATTCATGCACCTATTCATATAATTATAGCCCCTGCAAGCAGGTGGTCAAGCATTTATCCCATTCAAAAGTATGTTTTCATGGGACCATTAGTGACTATAAACTACTTAACTGATAGAGACACTATTGTTATTTCTGAAATCAAGTGAATGAGATTGAAACTGGGTTGATGATTATGCATAAATAATATGTGTAAATATACATTCACAATTTAGTTCAGTCATGAAATCCCTAGCTGAGTTTTTATTCAAACACATTACAGCGATTCATGGAGTGAAAAATAATGTGTTCACATTAACTAATGCTAATGAATAATGCTAATGAAATGTAATCTCATGATTGCTAACAGAAGTGTAACAGCAAACTGCATAAAATGAGGAGTTACTCGCATCTTCTCAAATATCAGACATAAATACTACATTCATATTTTGATTTCGATACAACACTGGCCAAATTGTAGACACAATGAAAACAGAACCTGCAAGAATATGTAATTCAATTGAAGGTAAATTATTCAATGTTTTTCAAACAGCAACTTCTCCTTTGGGTAGGGAATACATTGTGCTGTGCACAAAAGCACTCACACACCTGCAGGGTGTGACTGAAGCAAATGCTGTCAGTGCTGAATGTGTTAGTTCTTATAAGCATCTCTACACTACTAAAGCCTGCCATGGCCTGAGGGCCAGGGAAAGAGTGTCAGCAACAGTTAAGTTCATACTGTCTACTTTAGGCCAAACGTTATTCCCATTGTTACTCCCTAGTATTTTTTTATTCACTTGTGCCTATAAGCTTTATTTAGCTGACTGTATCTAAACCAGTGGAGGACGGCTCATAATAATGTCTGGAACGGCGCAAATGGAATGGCATCAACCACCTGGAAACCATGTGTTTGATGTATTTGATACCATTCCACTGATTCCGCTCCAGCCATTACCACAAGCCCGTTCTCCCCAATTAAGGTGCCACCAACCTCCTGTGATCTCAACATGGTTGTAAGTGTGAAGGACAAAGGTCACTTCTCCCCCACCCAACCAAAACAGAATACTGTAAGTCTGTCAATTCAGTGACCAGTTCAAGAAAGTAATACAAATGAGAAGGGTAAGGTATGCTTGTGTTGTCAATGTGAAATTACTGTTTGAGTAAAGTACCTGATCATCATTGAGATAGTTGGGTAGGCCTCCAATAAACAGTTTATGTGGGGAGTCTGGTACCACTGTGGACACGACACCTACAGAGACAAAAACGACAATAAACACGTTAAACTGCAATATACTTGTACTGTAGCTGATATCTACTGGTGCCATGAATGTGAACTACATAACTAAGAAAGCATGTTGCTACTGTACAAACCTGGGACATGAAAAGCAGGTTGTTCTGAAATGCCAGGTAGAGGCCGGTAGTCATGTGGTCGTCTTATCTTCAACGATTGACCTTGGAAAATGATTCCATCGAAAGCCATGGCCTGTGTGGTCTCATCAACAGACCGGAACTGGAGAGGAAGATGCCAAACAGGGAGTTAAACTTTCTAAGTAAGTTATGCAAGGCAACTAATGTTACACACCAACATATACAGAAGAGAGAGGACATAAGGCAACCTACCTCTAGGAATGCAAAGTTCTTATCCTGATTTATCTGCACAGCAAGCACAGGGATGCTAACGGCTTGCGATAGGCCTGCAAGCCTCATTTGGGCATTGAAGAACTCTGCCATAGACTCCTAAAAACAGAAATAAATAAAGGAAAAAATAACAGCTGAAACCCATACAGTAACTACATAAATACCTTGAAATACGATGTTGTCACTTCAATGAGCAAGACAATGTAAGTCCTCTCGGAAGTTTACCTCGGTCACACCAAAGGGAATATTGCCAACATAGAGACGTCGAGCCTGCCTAGTCATCTGACTGCCAACTATGGGCACTTGGGTGGGTGTTACTGCCAACCCAGTCGTGGCAGCTGATGCCAGCAGGGCTATTGTGGGTATCTGCCCAGCCGCTGAAGGGAAAAGTAGAGAGTAAGAGAAACTTCACACAACCTTAGTAACTGGCACTGTTCTTGACAATTAAAATCGAAACTAATCTTATTTGTCACATGTGCCGAATACAACAGGTGTAGACCTTACCGTGAAATGCTTACTTACAAGCCCTTAACCAACAATGCAGTTTTAAGAACTTGTATGAACTTGACAGGAATTAAATGAAGCCGGGGAACATCACAGGGGGACATTAACTGGCAAAGAGAAGCTGACAGATACCTTGCATAGCTTTGTACTGCAATGGTGTGATGTGTTCAAAGCCAGGGGGAGGCACATCCCAGTATCTGCAGGTCCTTTTCTTCCTTGTTCTTCGTGGAGAATAGCTGAGTAAACAGAATACATGTTGACTCATTGTTGGCAAAGATGACACTGAAAAGGCAATACCTGAGTATACCTGACATGCTGCTTTCTGTCAGTGAGTGGCTCCAGGTACCAGGGGCTGAAGACTCACCTGTGCTTCTTGTGATCCCGTGAGGTGCTCCTCCGCTCCCGGCTCTTCCTGTCTCGACTGCGGCTTTGCTTCTCTCGGCTCCGGTTGCCCCGGTCTTTGCTCCAGCTGCGATGTTTCTCACTGCGGCTCTGAGACCTACTGCCGCTCCTCTTCTTGCGTCTCTCCTTCTCTCTCTCTATGTAACGTTAGGTGGGAAGAGAAAGGATGGAACATAAGCCCAGCTTTTGGTAGCTATATACAATCATATTTCAGCATCATTAAGCCCAACGGATCATACACCTGACATACCTAACATGCAGAGAGGGGTTGTAATAAACTTGTATGATCTCTTGAACATAATTGCATAAACTTCATTTGATCGGGGTAAAATACACAGAAGCTTCTTCCGGCGATGTGAATAGATTTGACCAAAACTGAGTTCATAACATTCTGGTGGGATGCTTATTATGGACCAAGATATAGCTACCGGCAAGCTGACTAGGCAAACGAAATTGATCAGTCAGTCTGGGATAGCTAGCTTGATTATCTTGGTAACAACTAGCTAGCTCTAGCTGGCTAGTGCAATAGGTCAATGAGTGCGTCTAGATATCTGGTGCAGCTCTAGTTAACTAGCTAACTAACTATCAATTTATCTAGGTAGCTAGTTAATTCACTCGAACTATAGCCATGCCATGTTTGCTAATCAATAAATGAAGTGGCTAATGGTTAAGTTAGCTAGCTAGTCAAATAGGCTACATCTGCATACAGCAGGACTAGCTCTGCTAGCAAAGCTAGCTAGCTAACTTGACAACTGGCCACATAACCACAGCAATGCATGCTAGTTAGCTAACTGAGCTAGCTAATGTTAGTTAGCGACCTAAAAGCTTCTAGTTAGCTAGAATAATTGCAACTCATCCAACATTGAAGGCTGAAATAAAATGGGAACTCACCCTGTCGGTTTTCACTCAGCTGTTTTTCGAATTCCTCAAAATCAGCCATGATTAATGCAATATTTTAAACTGATTATATTCTGTATCTGCCTGACTGCCTTGACGCCAGAGTCCAGCTAGCTAGAATTGTAGTAGACCGCTTCATGGATTTTTCCAGTCGTCCAGGCAAACTGCTCACGCTATCCATTCCACAGAGTGATAGAACATAGCTACACAGTAGCAACCCAGATGAGAGAGTAGCCGAACATTCCACGAGTGTGCAGATCAGGGAATTTCATAGAAACGATGAACATGGGGAGCGTTCATGAGCAATCACATTGTGGGGAGTTGTAGAGTTTTAGTCAATACTGTAATCAGTTTGAGAAACTGAATGCCAGGTGTGGATTAATTAGTAAAAAGCTGAGAGGATAACCACATGTTTTCTCTACAATGCTTATAATTAAATTTATTTGATACAGGTTGGAGATGGAGACTTTGGGTCAACATTTGGCATGGAATAAAACAGGTCAAAGAACCTGGGAAGCTGACAAAACAGTGCATGCTGAGCTGTGTGTGTATGTGTGTGTGTGTGCAGGGCTGGACTGCACATCTGGGGCCCGATGTGCCATGAGACTTAGAGAAAATCTTGCAGTTTTAAAGCATCTTTTTTTATTTTTTTATTCTAAATATTTTGCCATGGCTTATGACATGTTCATATGCTATCTGGGGGGCCCTCAACCAACATGTTCATAATAAGTTATCTAGGTGGGCCGCGACCTCCAGGCGGCTCTCAACTGCCCAAAATAAAATAATAATATTAACTTTTCTTTTGGGGGAGCCTGGAGGTCGGGGCTCCAGGGCACGTGCCCGTTCGGTAAGCCGGCCCTGTGTGTGTGTGTCTTTCTGTCAGTGTGTGTAGGCTATGCATGTTACTGGTACGTCTGTGTGAGTGTGTGTGATTCAGTTCTGTTTCTATGCCGTATCCTTGCTTTGTGGTGCACTAAATGAAAACGGAGCTAAATAGAGCAGGGCCTTAGCAATGGGACACCATCTCCCCCACCTCCTCTGCCTCCAGGAGGCGTGAGCTGCCTTGCCATGCTAAACATAACATGTATACAACATGCATGGAAAATGACTGACTCAGCTGTGCGCTATTAAAAGAGCTCAAATCCCAAAGTATTGCTAGGGGGGACTGCTGGTCAGAGCTACACTCTGAATGGGCTGGGGCTGGGAACATTGCCCCACATGAGAAGACCTAACCAGGAATACTAGCAGACATTTTTCCACCAGAGATCTAGCCAACACAAACCGTAAGTGGAGGTTGTGAATGATATCAAAGCATACTGTAGGTGTGAAATGGAGACAGTCAGCCAAAGGCACCCGGCCAGGACAGTATTTGCACGTTTTGTGTTGAGACACAGTGAAACTTGTTACTTTAACTGTATGGTTCCATGTTCTGATTTGATTGTAGTTGTGTAGGAATGGCAGGATAACATCTATGATTACGGTCTTTAGTTGTTTTCACATTGTGTCTTTGTTGCATTTGTTACATTCATGTTATTCTTGGATCTAAGTTTATCTTGGAGTTGTGCTGATGTTACTGTACAGCTTTTGAAGATAATGTTGCTATAGTATTTTTAGGTCAGGGTATATTTAGAGCCTCCCTTAGGACAGACACACACTGTACATGGTAAACTGTGGCTTAAGTGCTATTACAACACCCAGTAGAACAAAAACTGTGGACCAATCCCACTTAAACTGTAGTGGGACAAACTGGGATTGTCAAATGTGGTGATTGCAAGGAGATAGTAATCTGAGGAGAGAAAGTTACTGTATCTTATACTATATGAATGAACTATGAAATGTTGAGTCACCTTGACTGTCTGACAGACAGCATATTCGGTATGCCTCACATTGACGCTGTCTTAACTGAAGATGAGGTTCACTTTGCCCTTTGTAATAATTTGAGGTCATGTATCAAGGAGTATGTTTAGCTCCTTCTGATGAAACAACCAGTCAGCATTTACTAGAGTGATCATAAGTTATATCTTCTAACTTGCTCTGTCACTACAGTACATGGTCAATATATGTTTCTTCTGTTTCCATTTCAGAGTTATAAGAGTAGTTAACTTAAAGGCCCAGGGCATTCAAAAACGTGATTTTCTTGTGTTTTATTTATATTTCCACACTATGAGGTTTGAATAATACTGTGAAATTGTGAACATGATGATAATGCCTTTTAAGTGTAAGAGCTGTTTGAAAGGACCACCTGAAATATCAGCCTGTTTTGGTGGGATGGAGTTGTGGCCTGCCTGGTGACATCACCAGTTGGTAAATTAGTTAATAGGCTAATAAGAAAGACAGCTCCAACCCTCTCAGCCAATAACAGCTAGTTTTTAGTTTTCCCCTCTCACTCTGACCACTCCCAGACAGTCCTAGCTATATTCATACTTGAGACATTGCTATTTTCTAAAAAGCTATTTTGGTTTCTTTTTGACCATTTTAATTGAAAACAATCACAGTAAGGTACTTAATTGTTGCCCAGAAATGATTTGAAATTGAGATCAAAACGTCTGCATTGGACCTCTAACGGTTGTCTTTAACAGGGTATTTTGGATACCAAAATCATGGACCTGGAATATCTGTTGGTATGAAATACATTTTTGAGAACGTTCAATATTCTCACTTTGATTATACACTGCTCAAAAAAATTAAGGGAACACTTAAACAACACAATGTAACTCCAAGTCAATCACACTTCTGTGAAATCAAACTTTCCACTTAGGAAGCAACACTGATTGACAATAAATGTCACATGCTGTTGTGCAAATGGAATAGACAACAGGTGGAAATTATAGGCAATTAGCAAGACACCCCCAATAAAGAAGTGGTTCTGCAGGTGGTGACCACAGACCACTTCTCAGTTCCTATGCTTCCTGGCTGATGTTTTGGTCACTTTTGAATGCTGGCGGTGCTTTCACTCTAGTGGTAGCATGAGACGGAGTCTACAACCCACACAAGTGGCTCAGGTAGTGCAGCTCATCCAGGATGGCACATCAATGCGAGCTGTGGCAAGAAGATTTGCTGTGTCTGTCAGCATAATGTCCAGAGCATGGAGGCGCTACCAGGAGACAGGCCAGTACATCAGGAGACGTGGAGGAGGCCGTAGGAGGGCAACAACCCAGCAGCAGGATCGCTACCTCCGCCTTTGTGCAAGGAGGAGCAGGAGGAGCACTGCCAGAGCCCTGCAAAATGACCTCCAGCAGGCCACAAATGTGCATGTGTCTGCTCAAACGGTCAGAAACAGACTCCATGAGGGTGGTATGAGGGCCCGACGTCCACAGGTGGGGGTTGGGCTTACAGCCCAACACCGTGCAGGACATTTGGCATTTGCCAGAGAACACCAAGATTGGCAAATTCGCCACTGGCGCCCTGTGCTCTTCACAGATGAAAGCAGGTTCACACTGAGCACGTGACAGACGTGACAGAGTCTGGAGACGCCGTGGAGAACGTTCTGCTGCCTGCAACATCCTCCAGCATGACCGGTTTGGCGGTGGGTCAGTCATGGTGTGGGGTGGCATTTCTTTGGGGGGGGCGCACAGCCCTCCATGTGCTCGCCAGAGGTAGCCTGACTGCCATTAGGTACCGAGATGAGATCCTCAGACCCCTTGTGAGACCATATGCTGGTGCGGTTGGCCCTGTGTTCCTCCTAATGCAAGACAATGCTAGACCTCATGTGGCTGGAGTGTGTCAGCAGTTCCTGCAAGAGGAAGGCATTGATGCTATGGACTGGCCCGCCCGTTCCCCAGACCTGAATCCAATTGAGCACATCTGGGACATCATGTCTCGCTCCATCCACCAACGCCACGTTGCACCACAGACTGTCCAGGAGTTGGCGGATGCTTTAGTCCAGGTCTGGGAGGAGATCCCTCAGGAGACCATCCGCCACCTCATCAGGATCATGCCCAGGCGTTGTAGGGAGGTCTTACAGGCACGTGGAGGCCACACACACTACTGAGCCTCATTTTGACTTGTTTTAAGGACATTACATCAAAGTTGGATCAGCCTGTAGTGTGGTTTTCCACTTTAATTTTGAGGGTGACTCCAAATCCAGACCTCCATGGGTTGATACATTTGATTTCCATTGATAATGTTGGTGTGATTTTGTTGACAGCACATTCAACTATGTAAAGAAAAAAGTATTTAATAAGATTATTTCATTCATTCAGATCTAGGATGTGTTGTTTAAGTGTTCCCTTTATTTTTTTGAGCAGTGTATAATCACTCATAGAATTGGAATTTAATTCTTATTCTATGTAATCACTCCTCGCTCATCCATTAGTCAATCCATTGATTATTGATTCATCTTGAACATGCTTTCATCATATCATATAATGGACTTTAGACCAACGTGTATTTCTATAAGAATTCACTGCATACTTCTGAAGAATACATTTACTGCCTGTATTTTCAATTCAATACTTTCAAGTTTTCTCACTAAACACTAAAACATGGCACTATATGCTACTGAAAATGACATTCCCATTGGTATTTTCCAGAGTATGGACCCAGCTGCCATTCTGCTGGTGCCTGTTGTGGTGGTGGTAACAGCAGTGGTTATTTTTCTGCACAGTCTGGTGCTCAAGTTCTTGTCCACAGGAACGGTACGCAACAAGGTGGTCGTGATAACAGATGCCTTAACAGGACTGGGAAATGGTAAATCCCTTGTTTTGATTTTGAAAAACAAAGCTCAGATATGAAATGCAAGTAGAAATCTGTTATTACATTGTTACTAAAACAGTATTCTGTCTGTACATTTATTAATTCAAACCTTCTTTGCAGAATGTGCTAAGTTGTTTCACGAGGGAGGAGCTAGAGTCATCCTTTGTGGAAAAACTTGGGAAAAACTTGAAGGTTTTGCTGATAACCTGACTAGCGCTGCAGACCCTAAAATCGTAAGTATGTCATAGCTCTTAAACCCCACAGAGCAATGATATGGTCTTTATAGGCCTGATAAAAAGTTTAGTTTTATTGGCATCTATATGAATATGTATAAATTGCAAAGTGACCATGAATATCCTAAAGATTAATAACAATATATTACGATAATTTGGTCCTGCATCATTGTGAAATCCTCTTTCCCTTTCCTAGACCTTCCCTCCTAAACTTGTTCTAGTGGATTTCGGTGACATGAACAGCATGCCAGATGTGATCGCAGAGACGCTGGAGTGTTATGGCTGTGTGGATGTGCTCATTCTCAACAGCAGCCTGAAAGTCAAGGCCCCAGTACAGAGCACATCACTGGAGATGGACAAGCTAGTCATGGACAATAACTACTTTGGACCTATCACAGTGGCTAAGGGTACTATATCACAACAGAGCATAATTGAACTCAGTTAAAATGAATTTGAGTTTGAGAGTTGTGTTATATTGGTCCCTTCCACAGGTTTGCTGCCATCCATGATGTCGAGGAGGACTGGCCATGTGGTTCTGGTCAACAGCATCCAGGGCAAGCTGGCTATGCCTTTCCGTGCCACTTGTGAGTTCAGTCATTTTCATACCGACAGTAGGCCTACTTCTGAATGTAGTTTGATGAAGTTTGAATTAACAGGTATTCAGATGTTCAGTATGAATTCCCTCAATAATGAAACACAATTGTACGAGCAGGAGATCAGGGTCTGAATTTGTCTTCTGCTGGGTTTCAGATGCTGCCTCTAAGCATGCGGTCCAAGCCTTCTTTGACTGTCTGAGGGCTGAGGTCCAGGAGTATGGCATCTCTATCAGCACTGTCAACCACACCTTCATCAGCTCCCCTCCACCTGCCGAAAAGACCAACAAGTCCATCTGGTCAAGTAAGCTGCTGTCTCAGTTGATGCTCTTAAAGTTCCTAACTGTGTATTGTGCTGGTCTGACCACTCTAACCAACTTTACCCCCCCCCCCCCCCCCCCCCCCTCCCAGTCTTCTCCAAACAGAAGGTTATGGGCATCACACCAGCAGAGGCTGCCAATGAGATCCTGAAGATTCTGAACAGCAAGAAGAGAGAGGTGGTCATGACTCACTCCCTCCCCAAGATGGCCATCTACGCCAGATCCCTTTTCCCAAATGTATTTTTCGCTGTGATGGCTGCAGGAGTGAATAATGCTGCAGCTTTAGAAGACTCAGAAGCGCTGTAGTCTACATAGCATTGGACTGACTCTGGATTCTGGATACACACCACATAGAACTGGGGATAAGATGATGTGTTGGACCAGCACTTATTACTGTCAAATATGGAGGAGCAGCTGAGACCGGAATGAAAAGAGAAGAAGACAAAAATATTATTGAAATGACAGAATGTTTTCAATGCTGAATGGACGCAGGTGTCGGAAAAACATGTCGGAAAACAATTTACTTGGAAACTAAAATGACTTGGGTATCTCATAAGGGACAATACTTGCTTCAGTAGAACTGTCATATAGCAGAAATTAGGGAAACTGTTGTTTATTAATTGGAACCATATATCAGGCCTACTGAGCCTAGAAATAAACCTTGTTTGGCCCTCTGTCTTCTTGTCTTTACTTTTCATAATATATATAACATTGGTAAAGAGACCACTTTGTAGCCTACAGATGGAATTGGAGACTCATAATTGTATTTTGTGACAGAGGTGGACGGTAATTGAATTACAATCTCAACTCATATAGTCATGAAGTAACCATTTTACGCCAGCTAGTGGGCATCAATGGAATTGCATTGGAAAAGACGGCGCATGGCCACGAGCGACAACTGACTCTTGAACAAGAATACCGATATGGTTTTACGAAAACTGATTTTTTGCGTCTGTGCATTGAACAGAACACCTCATTCTGTAAAGGTTTTGAATACTCATATGTCTGCCTTCAGTGTATTGAGTCCTAACACCGACTTCAGAGTAAAACATGACCGACACAACGTCTGCTTTTCCATCAACCTGGACGGCGAGGGTGAGCGTGAAACAGAGCAGGGATTGCCATTTACAACCAGGTTACAATAACTCGAGGCCGGTGTTCATGCATGACCTACTTGGGAACGTTCCTAGTTAGGAACGCATGACTGTGGGGAATATAATATGTTACATGTTGTCATGAGCCCTCTCACTCCACCGGGTTACCACCTTTATTTGTTTCCACTATCTTCCACTCTCTCTACTCAGCCTAACTAGCTCCACCTGTCCCTGCTCTGCTCTGCTCTAATTACTCTGCCAGCTGCGCTGCATTACCCACTAACCTCTCCCAGTATTTAAAGCCCTGTCTTTCAGCTCTCCTTTGTCAGATCGTCTGCAAAGCTCACACCCGGAACCTGTTTGCTCACGCTTCTGGCTCACCCTTGTTTTGTGACCCCGGACCTGCCTGATTCTTGGATACTCTTCTGCCCCAGGAAAACCAGACCTGCTTTCTGCCATAACGACTCCTGACTACTCTTCAATCCCGGTAACTCTGACCAGCCTTCTGCCTTGCTACAACGTATTTGGATTTCCCTTGAACTGTACTGCTGCCTTGTTTCATCCGCCCCGTTGTGTCTGTGTTTCCCCCCCCCAGGACTTCTGGACCACCCACCACCGGCGTCATAGGACGCATCGCTGCCACTGGGGGGGGGCACAGACCCAGCACATTGGACGGGATCCCTGTTACCCCTGGAGCCTTCACTCACTCCCTACTTCCCTTTTCCCTTAAGTTTTAATAAACTTTCTGGTGTGACGCAATTGTGGTCCTCTGGTCGTCTGTCTGAAACGTGACACATGTATAAATAAGATTTTACTCTCTTGGCACAGGGCATCAGCATAGCGCGGTGCTGCGCTACAAATTCACGAGCAAGAAGGAGGTAGTTCTATATCGTGGAGCTCCGCCCCATAGGGGAGCTCTGCTCCTATTGGTTTACCCACTGCCCTGAGGCAGCATCAGCCTGAGACAAAATTATGCACACACCTGCAGCCAATAGGAGTACAGGTGTCCCTATAAGAGGGGATGCCTCCCCTCAATCAGCCTCCCTTTATCTTCAGCGACTGGACTATACTGAAGAAGCCATGAAGAGAAGACTCAGGACGAAGAAAACGCCGTCGATTTTCCAGATCATCGACGTTCTCCTTACAATGAGCACACCTGGAGATTTTCCACGATACGGGCTCTGAGAGGTCAGAAGACTTGTCTTTCGCTGCAGCCTCTCTGAGGTCGGATTTTCCCGGACTCATTGAGAGGGCTGCCACATGTTTGGAAATACCGCTGCATCCTATTCCCTCCGCACCGGAGGTGGATTTAATGGAGGGCGGCCCCTATTCCCGGCCAAGGAGAGCGGCAGAGCCACTGGCTCCAGCAATGCCCTCATTGGCTAAATACGTCGAGGGCTCATGGGAGGCACCTCTGGCGGCGCGTTCGCCGGCTAGATCGTACCTCCCATTCACCAGAGTGGAGGGAAGATACCAGGGCCTTACAAAGGGAATCCCCAGGTTAGAGAGCGCCATGGCTGCGTACCTCGTACCGGGTTCGAGTCCCTGGCCCTCTTCCAAGAAGGCCACCTTGCCGACACAGAAGGACTGTCTCACAGCGCAGCTGTTAGAGAAGTCCTTTACGTTGGGAGCCCAAGCTGTAGCAGCAGCTAATAACATTGCCCTCCTAGCGGCCGCTCTGTCCCGTTTAACCATGGGTAAGACCGAGCTGGACACAGAGGAGGTGGAGGAGGCGTCCAGAATTTCTGGCGCCATTCTCCACCCTTACACAAGCTTCGGCTGTCTGCGCGGGGAGGTCCATGGCCACTTCGGTGGTCGCGGAACGACACCTCTGGTTGTCGTTGACGACCATGAAGGAAGCAGACAGGACGTCGCTTTTGAACGCCCCCCTCGCTGACGACGGACTCTTCGGAGTCGCCGTCAAAGAGGCGACAGAGAGGTTTTCAAAACTCGACGAGGAGAAGAAGCAGCTGGCCAGACACCTGCCATTGGCAGGGAGGTTAGGCCCTGCGCCCCAGAGACCGTCCACCTCCACCGCCCAGAGTAGGCCAGGGTCTACTGTGAGGCGGCGTATCCAGCGCCAGACAGCGGCTACAGGCGGCAGGAGAGCGGGCCCCGCAGGCCATAGCCTCGGTCAGTGCAGTTCAGACTTGCGCTGCGTTCACAAGGGGCCGGAATACTACGGTTACGGGTTTAACCAACGTATCGGCGCCCCCGTTTCTCTCAGAACGCGCTAATGTTTCCTCTCCCTTTCATGGGAGGCCCGCCTTGGGCTGTTCCATCACCTCAGTGCTGGGGAACAGCGGCGGCAAGGGCCATCGAGGAATACAGGTCCTTCCTACTGAATGTACCACAGCTTCGCGCTCGCCCGCTTTCTCTGCATTGCTAGCAGTGGCGGCGAAGCTGTACCCTCTCACGCTGGCTAGACCAGACGTTGCAGAAGGGTTATGCCATCCAATTCCATCGGACCCCACCCCCATTCAGGGGAGTGGTGGAGACGGTGATGAAAACGCCCGAAAAAGTGGCCGCTCTGGTTTCAGAGATTACGGAACTTTTGGTGAAGGAGGCGGTCACAGTAGTTCCCCAGGAGCAAAGGAACAGAGGGCTATATTCGCCCTACTTCCTGGTGCCCAAAAAGACAGGGGGAATGAGGCCGATATTGGATTTACGCATTCTCAACTAGAGCGTAACCAAACGGCCCTTCTGAATGCTCACGACAAAACGTCTACTGGAATGTATCCAGAAAGGAGACTTTTGTACAAGCATAGACCTAAAGGACGCGTACTTTCATGTGCCGGTGTAGCCGCGTCACAGAACGTTTCTGCGATTCGCCTTTCAAGGGGTGGCGTACGAATACACGAGGATGCCATTCGGGTACGCCCTGGCACCTCGCACGTTTTCCAAGTGTGTGGAGGCGGCATTGGAACCGTTGCATCATCAGGGAATAAGGATACTAGCCTACTTAGACGACCTACTGGTTCTCGCCCCGTCGGCAGAGCTGGCGTTCACTCACACGACACAGACAGTGATTCATCTCACACGTCTGGGGTTCGCTGTGAATTGGAAAAAGAGCGCCCCCTGGCCCAGTCATCAGATTGTCTACCTGGGGTTACAGCTAGACACTGTAATGATGAGGGCTCGAATTTCGGACCCTCGAAGGGTAGCCTTGTTGCTAGCCCTGAGAAAGTGTCGTCCGAATCACACGGTAACGGCGCTGTCGGTCATGTCACTCTTGGGTCTCATGTCGTCAGCCCTTTCCGTGGTTCCGCTGGGACTCCTGCTCATGCGCTGGATGCAGTGATGGTTCGCCCAACTAAGACTAGCCCCAGTGCGTCAACGTCATCGGTTGGTGGTGGTTCCCCTCTCGCTCAGTGCAGATCTGAACTATTGGAGAGACCCGCGCGTTCTCACGCACGGAGTCCCGATAGGCAAAGTGTCCTCCTACATTCCAGTGTATACAGATGCCTCTCTGACTGGATGGGGAGGGACATGTCAGACCCAAGCGATAGGAGGTGTGTGGCCTCTTTCGAGTTGCCACATCAACCTCTTGGAGTTGGAAACGGTTCGACTGGTTCTGACCCACTTCGCGTCTATCCTTCGGGGTCGCGATGTGTTGGTCTGGTCAGACAACCGGACCACAGTAGCTCACATAAATCACCAGGGAGGAGTCAGGTCTCCTGCTCTCCACCGGGCGGCAGAGGAATTGTGGATGTGGGCTCACGAGCACCTTCGCTCAATGAGAGCAGCACACATTCCGGGCTACTTGAACGTAGGAACAGACCTCATGTCGCGAGGGGGTCCTCGAGACTACGAGTGGCGTCTGCATCCGGACATTGTTCTCCAAATTTGGAAACAGTTCGGGAGAGCCGAGGTGGATCTATTCGCGTCACGCGTGAACGCGCAATGTTCCCTATGGTTCTCTCTGAGGGAACAGGACGAACCGCCACTGGGAAGAGACGCATTTGCGCACCACCCGTGGCCGAGAGTTCTTCTGTATGCATTCCCTCCGCTGTCCTGCATTCTCCCACTGTTAGCCAGGGTGAGATCAGGAGATCGCCCAGGGGCTCCATGGTTTGCGGAGATGAGTCAGATGTTGATTGCGCCACCTTGGCCAATTCCACATCGACGGGACGCATTGTCTCAGGCGGGGGGCTCGATAGGGCAAGTGCCCATAATCGGCCAACCACTGAAGGCTTGGCTCCTGAGAGGGACAGGCTAGAGCGCCGTGGGTTATCTGATTCAGTAATCAGGACCATACAGGGTTCACGTTCCAGTTCCAATTCCAGGGTGTATGCCAGTAAATGGAAAGTTTTTTCACAGTGTTGTGTCACACAGAATGTAGACCCCATGAGCTGTCAGGTTGAGAGTGTTCTCTCTTTCCTGCAGTTTATGTTTGATAAGCAGCGATCGCCCGCCACCATTAAGGTGTTTGCAGCTGCAATTTCAGCTTGTCATGAGGGGTTTGGCAGAGACAATGTCTTCAGCCACCCTCTAGTGAAACGTTTCTTATTGGGAATGCGGCGGCTTAGGCCAATGCCTAAAGCCACGCTTCCTCAGTGGGATTTGGCTTTGGTACTCGAAG